CTACATACACACACATACATATACATATATACATACAAATAAGAAGGTTCAAACGAGAACCAAATTAAAATAAGAAAACGCGAGAACACCTATATTACATGTGACTTTAGAGTTAAATCACATGTGATTAAGAAACAAGTCAAACCACATAGGCCGTGAGTCAAGCATTTGCGCCAGTAGTTTGACCATGTTCCTATTCATATCTGATTTGACACTAAATAAAATATGATTTGAATAGAAACCTGTTTCGTTGTTGTTGTTTTCGGGTTCAAGTTATCAATCATGGAATTTCCGTTATGTAGTTTGTGGATCGTAACAGAACCATGTTTGGGACCCAAAGTTTCGTTTAAACGTTCATCAACCTACGAAAGAAATGCCATTTTTTATTTTTTAAACACAAATTTACTTTATGTCAAAGCAATATAACTGTGATAATATGTTGAACTTTATCATATTACTTTTGAAAAAAAAAAATATTGAGAAACGAATGAAGGTTCCAACGATATTAAGGAAAAATGGTTAAATGCAGCCATGTGAAACTCAAACACTCCCCTCCCCCACCTCGAATGAAGGCTACATTGACATAAATATAGCTGCCATATTGTTAAGTCGCTAAAGTGACAAATGTTGATACTGATATTATATGATAATATGTGGAACTCTATCAAATTGTTGTTTAAAAAAGCTCTGAATTCATGTTTAGCCAATGTAAGACTCAATAAAGAGCCTTTGATCTAACGGTATGTGAGTCATTGGCCTCGTAGGAGGTCAAAAGATCAAACCTCACCAAATGTGAAGAATGTGTGTAAATTTATTTGTTTTATATGACGTATTATTAATGATTATTTTGAAAAATTAACTTATATGATTTATTAATCATACACATATAATTAATAAATTTAATTGAATAATCTTATTACAGAAAATATAAAGATGTTATAATTTATTTTTTACTCATTTTTTATATATACGCATTTGAAAATAGGGTGGCCTCGTGAACCACATTGCTATTGGCTTCCCCATTTTCTTGAATAAATATATCTAGAAAACGTTTTTCTCTAAAAAGAAATGATTGAAAAAAACATGAGAACTAAAATGTCTCTTTTAAATTTTAGAGTGTCGGTTTACTAAGGTGGCGTTTGTTTTTTAAAAGAACTGAAGTCTGATTTTACTTCTGATTTATAAAAGGTGGTCATGAATTCTGAAAATCAATAAGATTGTCTGTTTTTATGTCTGAAGTCTGAAATTTAAATCGGTCAAACTAGTGCAAAAATATAAAAGTAAAATAATTTTTTACAAAAATATAAAAGACAAATAGCTTTTGCTAACAAATTTCTTATAGCCCCCAAAATTTAAACCATTTGATAGAGAGCGGATTAGGATTAAAAGGTATTTAGGGATATGTTTACCACTTAAAATTTCAGAGGACATTTAGAGCTTTTAAGCTTTTATTTTAAAATTAAAACAAACGCTCTTAATATCCAAACATCTAAACGAATCAGATTTCAGAGGTATTAAGAGGTAATTTTGAAAAAAAAAACATGCCCTAAATGCTTATCTTATAAGTGCTTACCAGATAATTTTCTTTACCAGATGAGTATGACAAGGATCAAAAATGTTAACGGATAAGAGCAATGATAATGATGGAGAGTTTTACTCTTACCCGGACAAATTGTTGCATACGACACCGTTTTGATGTACTGCAAATTTACCTGGTAAAATAAGTTATAGTGTTGACTCTTAACGGTATATGCATATCGGGTAAGCATTTAAGTAAACGGTCCCTAAGTTACAGATTTCGTCTCTATGGTTTCATGTCGGTTACCAAATAGGTTTATGAATCCTATGGGCTATGACTGAGGTTCTCCGACATGTGAACTCACCTCAACAAAGGACTATCTAACTTCTTTTAAAATCAAATCGGCTATTTAATTTCAGAATTTGTCGATCAAAATCAAATACGATTCTTTGATATTATTCGCACTTTGTCATTTTAAACATTTTTGTTGTTTCAATATGTTCCAAAATCTATAATTTAGTTTGTCTACTACTCATTTCATGTGATCTATTGTTTTAGTACAAATATAACAGAGCTTTCAAAAAGATTGAGACGACCCTGTCTAACCTCCATTAGAATTCTTCTGTTAAAGCCCCCGATCCGCCCCCACTTACCCATCTTGCGAGGGGCATACTGTCGAGACACATGCCTAACGACACAAAGAAGGAAATAGTATACTTTCTTGACGTAAGATATGAAGAGGATCGTTGGTTCGTTTTCATATTCATAAATTTGACTCCACATGATGGTGTCTAACCTTTAAAATGTAACATGTTGTGGAAAACACTTTTCTTTCCATAAATATTAAGTGACTTTTGGTATTTTTTTCCCTTCAAGATCTATTTAACCCTTATATTATTTATAACCAGAAAGATAATTGGAAGTTTTTAATAACATCTTTAACAGTTATACTATACTTTTTAGAGCAAATTGCATGAAAAAATAACGTACTTTAACTTGATTCATATTTTTGGTAACGTACTTTCAGAACTTCCATTTTGGTACCTAAGATGTAAAGTTTTAAACATTTAAGTACCCGAGTAATCAGTTGAAAACTAATTTTGGATTAAAAAAAAAACTAACTTCAGATTAGAAAAATTCATATCATTAACCACGTCAGCAAATAATACTGAGTTAGATACCATATCACTCGTCACATCAGCATGATAACCGATTAGTGCTTCAACCGGTTACCCGAGTACTTAAATGTTTAAAACTTTACATCTTAGGTACCAAAATGAAAGTTTTAAAAGTATGTTACCCAAAATATGAATCAAGTTAAAGTACGTTATTTTTTATGCAATTTGACCTACTTTTTTTTTTGTGAAATAGAGTATCAAAAACTAGAATATCTAAAAAAATTACATTCAACTCCAATAACTATAATATGTTATCAATTCCATATTTCTAACATTAATTATATTATTAAAATATTTTATTAAATTCATCATCACTGACACTTCTAAAAAAACAATTTATAAAAAAATATATAACACATTCAATCTCAATGGTGGAAATGATCAAAATAATATATAACTCTCTTTAATATTAATTTTTATTTATTTTCTCCATATTTAGAGATTTTTACATTATCTGTCTTCTTTTCTCTGTTTTGACATAAACTTTTGCCTAGCTATTAAAAAAAAACTCCAAAAGTATTCAAAATCTCTATTTTAACATGGTTGTTGTAGATGTTATACTGTCATACTTGGGCCTAAAATGAAATAAGGACTAGTGTAGGGGCTAAACTTGTTGAGACTTGAAAAATGAGGGGTTAATATGTAAGAGGGAAATAAGTGTAGGGATTAAATCGAAAATATGGAATAATTTGAAGTAGGGAGAGGGGAGGGGAGGGGAGGGTTTGGATGAGTGGAGTCTCCAAAAACCAAAGGAGATACATACTATGTACAAGTCGAATGTATAGAGACAGTCGTTCTGCTACGTGTAGCGAATGTCAAGTATGCGTATATCTCAATCTTTAGACTTTACGATTGGATGGTTGTGTTGACTGAAGTTTGAATACAGAACAAAGTGGTTCAAGAGGTTGTGTGTAGTTAGATAGTGTCGTTATTGTACAGATATTACAAGCATTTAAACGTATCAACAACGTCTGTATATGTCGTAGCCACACAGAGGTTATAGATTTGATATAACTAAAAATTATTTATGTTTATATACAAAATTACTTCTGTTATTTCTTAAAGAAATATAATGACATCTTGAAATGTTGAAACAAACTAAGGGGCCGTTTACCCAAATACTTATCGGCAAAATTTATCATTATCACTTACTTACCGAGTATTTTATATCAAAACGACATTGTATGTAACAATTTATCTGATAAGTGCTAACCGTGGTAAGAGTATCGCCCTCACTTACGGGATAAGATTCTCGGTCCTTGCGTTCGCTCTTACAGAGTAAGATTTTAGATTTTTGTCATATTTAACCAGTAAGGTAATGTAACTCGGTAAACATTTACCCTGGTAAACGGCTCCTAAAAAAACTAAACCATCAATCAATAAAAGTTATATAAATAGTAATTTATAAACTAAGATTGAAAAACGATTATTAAATAATAAAATATTAATAAATTAATTTATATATATATATTGGTAGAAGGTTTTAGGGTTGAGATTATCCAATAGGATGATCCAACGGCTGAGATGAGATATAAGGATTTTCCAAAAATGGGCGTGGATCCCATTCCCCGACCCCAAGTGGTCCTGTGCCAACCTTAGCTGCCTGCAGCTGCAAAACCCCCCTCAGTCCCTTTGTCTTTCTTCACTACCAAAAGAATCTATAAAACCCATAGTGACCCGACCCGTTTTAATCCCATTTCAGAAGTTACCCTCTTTATTTTAAGGTGAAAGTTTATGTAAGAAGAATAGTTATGGTAAGAAGCGTTCATTGATGAGAAGTCTAAAGTTAAAAGGAATTTATCCGTAAGATCAACTTTTATGTTAATTGATTAACTTTATAAGCTAATGATCTAATTGTAGATCTAATCCAAGGATTGAGAATTGGTTTTACGAATCTCACGAAAAAATCTTGGTCTTATATGATCCTAAGTCTACATACATATATATATATATATACATATACATATACATATACTTATAGATGTATATATATATATATATATATATATATATATATATAGATATAAAAGATAAGGAAAATTGGAAAATGATGAATAATATGTCCAAAGTTAGAAACGGGAGTTGCCATAGCAAAAGCAGAAGCTGCCATTTTATATATCTGACCGTTAAATCTCAACCCTTCCTTCCTTATCATCCACTCACCTTCTTCTCTTCTTTCCCTATATCTCCTCATTTTATCTTTAATGCTGCTCCTCCTCCATCTCCATCTCCATCTCCATCTCTCTTTACACACACTTAACACACACCAAAAACCCTAAAAACACACACACAAAACCCTACAAAACACACACAGCGATACATACACCAACTTCTTCATTGGTTCTGGTTTTCCAATTCTTATCAGTGATTGGAAATCTTTATTGCTATATCTACTACTAGCTTTTCTGGTAATTCTTTTCATTCTCCATGGGCTTTTTTGTCATTTCACATTTTCTTGGAAAACCCCATTGATTGTCCTTCATAGTTTTATCTAAAAATTACATCTTTTTGCTTGGAATTAATCAATCCTGGTTTTTGTTATGGGTTATTGCAGTTCTGAATCTTTATTGCTTTCTGCTTGTTTTCTGGTAATCTTAATTTCAACATCCATGGACTTTATGGTCATTTCACAATTCCTTGACATTTTCTTGAAAACATTAATTTATTCTTCATGATTTTAATCATTCAAAACCCAAACTTTATTCTTCTATTTACGGGGTATTGGAGTTCAGAATCTTTATTGTTTTCTGTTAACCACCAAGGCCCTTTTTCGTCATTTCCTAATTCCATGACATTTTCTTGAAAAACCTCATCTTATTATTTATTTATTTTTATAAATTCTATCCAAAAATCCAAGTTTTTTCTTGTATTTAATTCGTATTAAATTCCGAACCTTAATTGGTTTCGCATAATTTTTTCCAACCTCCAAATCCCTTTTCATTATTTCGTAATTGTATCGCATTTTCTTGAAAAAACCGATCTTATTCAAATCCATTTTTTCTTGTATTTAATTTGGGTTAAAGTTCATAATCTTCATTACTTGGTCAATTCTCAACCTCCGAGACTCTTTTTTGTCATTTCATTATTCGACAGCATTTTCTTAAAAAAAGCCCATCTTATCTTTCATAATTTTATCCAAAAATCCGAATTTTCTTTTTTTATGTAACGCTTTCTTCGTAATTCCATGGTACTTTCTTGAAAATCCTATTTTTTTCTTTATAATTTTAGTTAGATTTAAGAAACGTATCTATGAATGTTATGTCAAAATAACAGATATTCTGTAGAATTTATGAGAATCAGAGATTGTAGATAATCTAAGGGTTTTTTATGTGCCTATAATTGGTATTCAAGTACATAGTCTTTATTGGTTTCTCTTAATTCTTAGCAACCTCCATGCCCTTTTATGTCATTTCATAATTCCATGTCATTATCTTGAAATAACCCATAAATTATTCCTCATAATTTTAACAATTTTCGTGTATTTCAATTCATAATTCCATGACATTTTATTTTAAAAAATAAATCCGAAATTAATTATTCTTTATAATCTTATCCCAAAATCAAAAATTTAATTTTTTTCCATGTATTAAATTAATTTATATGAATAAAATATATAATTTAATTCTTGAATAATTGACTTGAAGCTTAAGGTTTTGAATAATGGCGCCCAAAAATGGACGAGGGAAGACCAAGGGAGATAAGAAGAAGAAAGAAGAGAAGGGTATTTACATTTATTTATTTAATAAATATTATATTTATTAATTAATGATTTTCCAAATAATTAATTTAAAAATGTTTAATTTTTGCAGTTCTTCCTGTTGTTGTGGATATAACCGTGAATCTTCTTGATGATACCCATGTTATATTAAAGGTTTGTTACCTTTTCTTCCCTCTTTTTTAATTAAAGAAATATTTAATAATATTTAAATCTTAAATGAAAAATATTGAAATATAAATACACAAAATATATATTATGTGCTAATTTATATATAATTTATATAAAATACAAAATGAATATCGTGACGATAGCTAGAATGCTAGATAGGATTTTGAAGGTTTCTGTGTCGTTTGTAGATAGGGTTAAAAATGTCATTACCAAAATGTTACAATTTGTTCGAGACGTACGTCTACATCAACGATAACGTGTTATCTATATCGTAAGTTGAACTGTTTATCAAGAATTTAAGCATCTACATTTCACCAACGTTGCCTACAAACAACAGGTGCACAAAAGAACACGTAAATACAGTCATAGAAGCCAAATGCCTGATTTTCTGTATAACTTCAAAAACTTTACTATCTTAGGTTTAAAAATTTATTCAAAGTTATAATATTATTAATGGACTGTATTTAAAAGACGACTCTACACGAAAAAAACGTCGTGGGTCCAACCAGTAAACACCGAAGTCACACACGCAAGGATATACACCTACATACATACATACATTCATGCTTAAATACGTAGATACTACGTCTTTAAGTTATTTAATATTTTAAATAATTTTCTTTTTGTCTTATATATTTCTTAAGCAGGGAATATCAACGGATAGGATCATAGATATTCGTCGACTATTATCAGTGAACACGGAAACGTGCAACATCACAAATTTTTCGTTATCTCATGAGGTAAGAATTTTGTCACGATATTAAATTTTCATGATTTATTATTTAAAATTTCAATGGAAATTTTATTTATAATTTTATCACATAAATACTTTTTAGAAAATAAATATTCAATTTTTATCGTCAATATGTTTTATGTAATTGTAATCTTTCTTATATTTTTTTACTTTATTTTATTAAAAATATTAATTTTAAATTACATAAAAATGTGTTTGCCTCTTAATATTTTGAAAAACTGAAATGGGCCACCATACTTACTAAATTGGATTAATTGGCCCATTAAGATGCCCATTTTAACGTACTTATTTTGCAGGTAAGAGGCCCGCGATTGAAAGATACGGTGGACGTCGCCGCACTGAAACCCTGCACGCTTGATCTCATAGAGGGTATAACCAATCTTACTGCCACGTGGTCAAACAGTTAAGTAAATGACATTCTTATCCTTACCAATTTTCTTTTATTACAAAACAGAGGACTATGACACCGAAACCGCCACTGCACACGTCAGAAGGTTGTTGGACATCGTCGCCTGCACGACGTCGTTTGGTCCGTCGCCGGTGATCAAGGAGGATTCCGGCAAGATTCCGCCTGAAGTCAAGGCTGCAAAGAAGACGAGTAAATCGAAGCAAAGCAATAAGCGTTCCTCAACTCTGCGAACCTCGTCTCCGCCACCGGAACAACCACAATCGAAAGATATTTCAGTGGAGGGTGAGGGAGAGTTGAGCAATTCGTGTCCCAAGCTTGGAAGTTTTTACGAATTCTTTTCTCTCTCTCATCTCACTCCTCCCATCCAGTGTAAGTCTATATCTACATCCGAAAAGATGGAGACAATTTCATTGAAGGACCGACGATCATATATGCATAGTTGCACACACATACACTCTCCGAAATTCCGTTGTTATCGGTTATATTTGGGATTCGTATTGATATATTATTGCAATTGTACGATTTTGTTAGTGTTTTGGAGCATGAATATTGCTTGCTCTAACCATCAAGGGATTTTTGATTGAATTCCAAATCTTAGACTATATGTTTCAAACAGAGCTTAGGGATCATAGCACTTAGGATGATAGATTTCATGAGCGTAAGAATGATAATTCGAGTATTTGATAACAATGTAGGAACAGTGGCTGAAATGGGATAAGTCAATTTAGCATATCTTTATTTTTGTTTTTGGGAACAATGGCATCTGACTCGTTTACCCCAATTAGTCAAACTTCTTTATTTTTCCTTGAATATTATGTTGAGTTCAGAGGTGTACTGATGCCATACTACAAACGTTTGCAGATGTAAGGAGGGCAACACGGCAACTAAAAGAGGACATTTTAATTGATGATTATCTTTTCTCACTTGAAGTAAGAAAACCCTTGAACGTTTTAAGGTTTTTACTTGTAAAAGCTTGCAGTTTTCTTTACATTCTTGAACTTTATGGTAAAGGTGAAGCTGTGCCATGGAAAGCCTGTCCATATTGAAGTTTGTAAAAAAGGATTCTGGAGCATTGGGAAGCAGCAAATTTTATGTCACAACCTTGTTGATTTGCTGCGGCGACTTAGTAGAGCATTTGATAATGTAAGTTTCTGAAAGATATCTATTGCAGGTCACCTTTCCATACTTTTGCTTGTCCATAAACTTGTCATGATTCCCTATCTTTGTTTCCTCTAACTTTATCCATCTATCGTCATCAACAATCATGCGTGTGAAAGTGTATGAATTGCGTCTTAAACATGTTTGCAACAAAATGTTTCAAATATAGTAACCACCAAATGTACCCATTTCCTTTTTTGAAGAGCGACTTTGATTGAGAGGAAAGAGAATGTGTATCGACTACATATTTGTCCTTAGAAAGAAATTGTGGTGGGTTTGGTGGTAAGTTTGAAGGTAACTATATATTTGCCCGTTTGTTCCATTCATGCTTGGACGACAATGGAGAAGTAATTTGAACACCTTTTGCTTCAGAAGCTTGCATCAATACTCCATACATGTTTCTTTAAAAAAAACTCCATACTTGTCATGCTAAATGGCTGTGGTTTTGGTAAAGTCAAGTGCCTTCTGCCAAAGCAGTTGTGGAGGCTAGTTGAAGACTGGATGTGGTTGCTACCTCCATTTTTTACAAATAGTACTAAAATCGTACAGACGGAGAGGCCTTGGTTTCTCAAAGTGGAAGCTGATTCTTGCTAAACTCTATCAACTCCACATTGCGATTTTCTTATTGACTAGGTAGTTTATGAACTTGAAGATTCATGCTCTATGTACAAGGTCTATCTTCCATGGAAACCAAACAGTTCACTCGCAGGTGTCAACCTCTTCTACAAGCAACAAAAAGAGATCTAGGCAATAGCTTAGTTGAGATTTAAAAAGTGTTTATTTTTGTTTCCCTTGCGTTAATTTATGTGACTTGCTTATCTGACAAAAGGTACCTGCTTTTTCAGGCTTATGAAGATCTCATTAAAGCATTCACTGAAAGGAACAAGGTACAATTCTGGAAGTAATCATTCATTAAGGTCTTCTAGTTTAATAATAAAATGGTTACATCATTTTAATTTTTGGTTTATATATATTTCTTTCAAATTCTTTCGAAGCCTTTTCCATGTTAATATCAACATAACTCACACACTATATGCATAGGTCAAGGTTATTTTAACATGAAAATGTTGTAAGTGAACAGAATCTTAATCTCCTGAAATTTTCAATTGTATGCTTTGAGCGTTTGTTAACAGTTCCTTGAATACTGCAGTTTGGGAATCTCCCGTATGGCTTCAGAGCAAACACATGGCTCATACCTCCTGTTGCAGCACAAGTTCCTTCTGTTTTCCCACCTCTTCCTGCAGAGGATGAGAGTTGGGGAGGAAATGGGGGTGGTCTAGGAAGGGATGGCAAAAGTGATTTGCATCCTTGGGCTAGTGAATTCTTGTATATTGCGTCTATGTCTTGCAAGACTGCAGAAGATAGGCAGATTCGAGACAGAAAAGCTTTCTTGTTGCATAGCTTGTTCGTTGACGTTGCCATTTTCAAAGCAATTTTAGCCATTCAACACATAATGGAAAAGCCACATGTAAATCCTTCTGATTTAAGTGGTGAAACAATACATACAGATAGTATTGGGGACTTGAAAATCACTGTTTTTAAGGACGCCCCTGATGCTAGCTGCAAAGTAGATACAAAGATTGATGGATCCCAAGCAACTGGGGTGGACAAAGAAAGCTTGGTGGAGAGAAACCTAATCAAAGGGATCACTGCTGATGAGAACACTGCTGCTCATGTAAGAAGATATACCAAACATGTCAATTTTATGTTCTTTCTTATTTTTGATCAGTGAATTTGAAGTGGATACCACTAATTAGTGACTTTTTATGTTGGAAAACCAGGATATTGCCACTCTAGGTGTTGTCAACGTAAGATATTGTGGTTATACTGCTGTTGTGAAAGTTGAAGAAAGAGAGAACGACAAGAAACATCCTCCATTGCCATACATTGAGCTTCTCGATCAGCCTGATGGAGGAGCCTGTGCCCTCAATATCAACAGGTTTTTTCTGACCAACTACATTGGCATGCATTATGTTTTGAATTTGGGAAACAGTAGAGTATCCAACAGTGCTCACATACTCCAAGTAGAATTTATTTGTATTTTTCTTTCTGAAAGCATGTGAGAATATGTGGAACCCATCAGAGGAATGTATTTGCGCCATCACCATCTTCAAATAAAGTATTTTCTACGGTAGCATCATGAATAGCGCATAGCAAAGTAGCACCCGCTTAGTTTCACCCAAGCTTCATCCTGGTCATGGATAGATCACCCAGGTTCGGGTCCGCCGGTTCACCAATCATTGATGGTTCTAGAACCGCTAAGCCTACATTACTCTCCGAAAGTGCCCTTATAGAGAGAAGGGAGGTTCCACCATATATTGAGGAGAATAGGTCCAAGCCTAGCAGATGTGGAATTCCAACATGCCCCTCCAACAAAGGTTAGATGGGGTACGGATACCAGGAGTGTCAAGTCCCTTTCAGATGGTAGACCCTCGCTCTAATACCATGTGAGAATATATGTGGAACCCCAGCAGATGTCCGAAAGAGCTTGAGGAGAAGAGGGAGATTCCAACATATATTGAGACTCCAAGAGAACTCATAGAGCTAGTAGTTCGATAAAGGATTGTTTTGTTGCTACTCATTGATAATGTGAACTATTTTAACACGAAAGAAACAAAACTGACGTAGTTTGGTGGCCTAAATTGTGATAGCTCTTATCAATAATTTTCTTCCCCAACTAATTTATACCTTAGGTGAGGTGTGATTTTTCCTAGAAAAAGGAAAGTGTGGGGATTTAATAAGTTCTCTTATGGGATAATATTGTTTAATATCAGGATTTGAGAGGGGGGGGGGTGATAAATTAGCTTAGCTTGCTTGCATACAAGAATGTGGCCGTAAAAGGAGTATTAATCACTACATAGTATTTCAATCTGTAGAAGGAACTGATTTCGTACTTGGCTGTCAGCCAGAATATTAAATCCCCGATTTACCACATACATATGTTTTTAACCTTCTATTATCAATCACTTCATCACCTGAATGATATCTATGCTTCCCTAGTTCTCAGGAAATTTGAAGTACATATTTTTTCGGCTTGTAGGGTATGTTTTACATTGTACCAGTCTTCACTATGCATCCTTTATCTAGTCGTAGTTATACTGTCTGGCAAATGTATTTTGGTCTGTGCTCTTTGTGTCACTTAATGTGTTCTCAATATAAGCTTATTCCTTGCAGTTTGAGGTTGCTACTTCATAAGAAAACTTCACTACAGAATAACGTTCTCCCTTACTTAAGAAGATCCGATAGTGAAGAGCTCAGTACTTCCCGATATTTTGTTGAGAAACTATTGAAGGAGAGTCTAACTAAGCTTCAGGAAGAGTGTGTCCAAGCTGACACCTTTACAAGATGGGAACTTGGAGCTTGCTGGATCCAACATTTACAAGACCAAAAGAAATCTGAAAAGGACAAGAAGGTTTCCACTGATAAAGTGAAGAATGAGCTGAAGGTTGAGGGGCTTGGGACACCTCTTCGATCCCTCAAGAACAGGAAAAAGGATTTAGAGGGGAGTAATACAGAACCTCAGTCTCGGAGCTCAAAAGTTGCTGATGCTGTCAACAGGGAAACGGAGAACTCTGTGTTAGACTTTGCAGAATCTCAGCTTGAGGCCAATGCAACTGAAAATGAGCTTACTTTAAGAAATTTATTATCTGATGCTGCTTTTACTCGGCTTAAGGAGTCAGAAACCGGACTCCATTGCAAGGTGGTACTAGTTTTTATATTCTTTTTTTGATGTATATATTATGTAAGGAAAATGAAACGCATACACACTCCGTATCTTTAACGAGGTTGGAAGTTGGAACTCTTGACCTCTAGGAAGGTTGGGCTACCTGATACCGCTGGGCCAATGGCCCTTTGGCAGTGTTGTATTCTTGGAAAAGTTGAAGTTTTATATCCTTGTATAGTATTCTATATTAACCTACTCTTGTTGTTTATAGTCTTTGCTGGAGCTGATCGACCAATCTCAGAAATATTACAATGAAGTTGCTCTTCCAAAATTGGTAATACAAAGCTACACATATTTTCTGATTCTTCTCCTAATTGACCTTTATGAAAGTCTCATGTTTGACAACTTCTAGCACTTCACCATTTGCAGGTTGCAGATTTTGGTTCCTTGGAACTATCACCGGTTGATGGGCGAACTCTAACTGATTTTATGCACACACGAGGTCTCCGCATGCGTTCTCTAGGACAAGTGGTTAGTGCCTTGATGCATTTTTTTTGGGAAATCTATTGCATAAGGTTTTTGTGAGTTGTGGGTCCATCTTTATTAATTACACTCTGATGCTAACATGCATGCCTTTGCTAAAACATTCTGTAACCTTTTGTAATGTGCATCTACAGATTGTGTGTGTGTGTGTGTGCACATGTGTGTGTGTGTATATATGCACATAGACACATTCTGTGTAACGTGACAACTTATCTGGTTCCAAAAAATCATTAGAAAGTTATTTTATTTTGTTCTATACTCTTTTAACTCTTGATATGCATACCCTTTGCTTGCAATCTTTGACCATGTCAAGAAGTTATCTGAGACCAACTAATGCTTGCTATTTCTATTTTTGATCAGGTTAAGCTTTCAGAAAAGTTGTCACACGTGCAATCTCTCTGTATACATGAAATGATAGTACGAGCTTTTAAGCACATTTTACAGGCAGTGATTGCTGCTGTTTCTAAACCAGAGGAAATGGCTGCTGCAATTGCCGCTGCACTGAATCTGATGCTTGGGGTTCCTGAGAGTGAGAAAGCGAAGCAATCTTCTGCTGTTGATTATCTGACAAGGACATGGCTAGAAGTTTTCTTGAAGAAGCGATATGATTGGGATCTTGCCAGCTTTAACTACACAGAACTGAGAAAAATTGCTATACTACGTGGGTTATGCCATAAGGTAATTGAGGCCTGTGTCATACAGAATTGATGATATCCTCGCTTAGGTATCATTAATATTGTTGATCTATTGTTGGTTGAAAAAGACATCATGTATCATAGGCTCATATAGCATACTCCATGCTGTATACATCTCTATGCTGATGAGATGTTAATCCCATTAGCTGAAAAGGAGCAGTAATTAGTTTTCTTCTTGGAATATATGTTTTCCATGCTTTTAATGATCAAGAAATCGGTTAGCTGTAAACAAATTTGTACTAATTTTCCAGGTTGGCGTTGAGCTGGTTCCAAGAGATTTTGATATGAATTCTCCCCACCCTTTCAGAAAAGAGGACATCATCAGCTTAGTTCCAGTGCATAAGGTGATGAATTACACCATTGAATGATAGTAACAAATCATATTCGATTGGTCATTGTCTTTAAATTAGTCCATCTTATTTGATATTTTGATTTTATGTTTCTTGCAGCAAGCAGCGTGCTCATCTGCTGATGGACGTCAACTTCTGGAATCATCGAAGACAGCTCTGGACAAGGGAAAGCTGGAAGATGCTGTTAGCTATGGGACAAAGGTACCAAAGTTACATATGGCAGAAGTTTAATAATGAACCAGCCTCCGTTATTAGGTGGCCCTCTTCAGATTTGAGACTGGATCATGTTGCTATACATTTCCTCCCTTGCACTTCCCTCTCCTCATCCTCATTGATATTTTAAGCATAGTAACATCACACGGAATAATAGTTCGGTGTTTTCAGCAAGTCTTCATGTGCTTTATTATTAATAATTAGTATGACTTTACATGTTATTGCTTGTCCTTCATTTCAGGCTCTTGCAAAGCTAGTTGCAGTGTGTGGTCCCTATCACCGGATAACTGCAGGAGCTTACAGCCTACTTGCTGTAGTTTTATACCACACGGGGGATTTCAATCAGGTCTTGATCTATTAATAATGGGGAATGTAGATTTATCTTGTTGCTGTTTTGTATGTCTCTCAAGCTCTCCAATACATTGGATCAAATTTCAGGCCACAATCTACCAACAAAAAGCTCTGGACATCAATGAGAGAGAACTGGGATTGGATCATCCAGATACCATGAAAAGTTATGGGGATCTCGCTGTATTCTACTATCGGCTTCAACATACAGAGTTGGCTCTCAAGTATGTTTTTGTTCTCATATTTTTGTGGGATTCTAATTCAGATCGACATCCGATCTTTGGAATGACCTTTGTGAATATGCATGCAAGTGATCAACACTCTTCAGTGTGTCATTAAGAAACCATGCATCTTGAACATCATTCTTTTGTGTGTGAGGGACATAGACCAACACCCTGACCTTACAAAAAACGGTTACGACTATGAGACATTGAGCTTCAGACCACAACCATTCCCTAGCATCCAATTACTTCAATATTTGTGTTGTGCTTAATTTGCATTTTGCATCATTTGGAAGCCACTCTAAGAGATGTCGTCAATTTTCGTTTGATCCACATGAATTGTTTCTTTAACATTAATATGTCACAGTTTTCCTAGTATTCCAAGGAATTAAGTTAGCTAAGATTATTCTTAAGCTGAAAGTTCATGAACTACTAGTTAGATTGGGCACACTTGTATATTACTTTATTTGTCGCACAAAATTTCGTCATGCTTATGATTTGCAATAATTTGCAAATAGCATAACTTCGTTACAATTACCATACCTGTTATCTTAACTAATTGGTGTCAACTACATTCATCCTATTCTTCATCTTTTCCCTATGCCAGTAAAGTTGGTTGTTTGCATGTGACGTTTCAAGGTGCATGTTTTGGCTGATAGCATTGGCAATTCCCCTTTTTTTGGCTCATTTCTCAATCCTTATTGAGAGAGTTGCTTCCATTGACAGGAGAAGAGTTGCATATTAGATTGTAGAAGCCTGTTTTGCCATAAACCTTTTTGTGTGGTCTTTTCTGTGCATATTCATTCAAGTGGAGGGGTCATCATACATGCATGTAAGGATCTTCTTTCACTAGTGAATGAGGGCTCCACAGTTGGCTTATTTTGTCTAACCAAACCAAACGTACCTAGTATATTCACTCGGAAGTGGAGTTCTAAAAACAAATTTTATACAATATGAGTCATCGAATGCAAACGCTGAGTTATGTATGCCATACATGGATGGATAGGATTTGTAATGTGGGCGTCTGAGAAAAGGTTCAGGTCATACCACTTCTGGGAAGCTGAGGGAACAGCGGTTTAGATCATTAAAGGAGACCTCTAGCTGGAAGATGGTTTTAGTAGAGATTGGGGTGGAACCAGATTAATATGGGAGAAGTGTGTAGATATTTGAATGGATGAAATATACTAAAGGCAAGTGCACGATTGGTTTGAGCTTGGCTCCAAAGGTCAAAAGTGCCTGGAGGTCCCAGGTTCAAATCCAAGAAGGAACAAAAATCCCCTTGTGGCCACGGAGGTTCAAATGCGGTGACTCCGGGAAACCTGCAAAGTAGGTGGTTGCCCTGGGATTAGTCAGCTTGCAAAGCGGGTTGGATATCCAGGTTAATAAAAAAAAAAGTGCACGATCAAATCTATGGAAACGTTGGTTTATACATTCCTCTTAGTCTCAACTCTAGGGATATATTTTTCCGCTATCCTTTTTAGAGAACTGCCGGAAGTTCCAACTAAGGAGAGTGTGGAAGGATGCAATTAATTCTTGTGGAACCAAAAAGTGGTTCAATGTGCAACTTTTTTTAGCTTACCACAACTAGTTTGGGATTAAGGGCTTGTTGATTTCGTTGTGTACTATATAGTTCATTAAATTCAGGTTATCATCTCTCGTCATAGTTTATCTTTTCTCTTTACTTACTATTCCCTTTACTATATCAGGTATGTAAAACGAGCATTATACTTGCTACATCTTACTTGTGGCCCATCACATCCAAATACGGCTGCAACATACATCAATGTAGCTATGATGGAGGAAGGTCTGGGAAACGTTCATGTCGCCCTCAGATATCTGCATAAAGCTCTCAAGTGCAACCAAAAGTTACTTGGCCCAGACCATATCCAGGTTTTTTATTTACCTGTTACTTCTTCCTCAGAAGAAACATGAGTCTTAATGGTGTATGTCTGAAAGGATATGAACAAACCGTAAAAAACAAGAATAACCATAACCTCTATGCTTCTTGTGTTTCACAGACTGCTGCAAGTTACCATGCAATAGCAATTGCGCTCTCTTTAATGGAAGCTTACCCTCTGAGCGTTCAGCATGAACAAACGACCTTGCAGATATTACGTGCAAAGCTGGGTCCAGATGATCTACGCACACAGGTAGTTTCCTGAGCCTCTGAAGTGAACTTGAATGTGAGAATATGTGGAACCTGCAGATTACTCTGCAAAAGAGCGCTTGAGGAGAAATGGGAGGTTCCAACATATATACAAGAGAAATGGTCCAAATCTAACCAATGTGGGGCGCGTTGAACGGAGGCTAGATGGATACGGATTGTCCCAGAGTGTTTCGAGGGGCTAGCCAAAGTGTCAGGTCCCTAGAGTGACAGACCTAGGCTCCGATACCATGTGAGAATATGTGAAACCTAGATTACTCTTCAAAAGAGCCCTCGAGGAGAAAGGGGAGGTTCCAACATATATACATGAGAAATAGTCCAAGTCTAGCCAATGTGGGACTCCAACACCGAATATATTATTCTTCAACATTTAATTTTGTAGAAGTGACAAGGGATATAGAATTTTAATTTTGGCAAAGAAACTGAAGAAGCATCTAATCTAGGCTTCACCGATCAGATTATCCTTATTATTACTATTACTGTTACTATTATTATCGTAGTTGTTATAATTTCTAAATACAAGCTTGCATTTATATTAATTCAAATTTTCAAACAGACAGACTGTAACCTTCGAGTCAATTGCTGCAGGATGCTGCTGCTTGGCTTGAGTATTTTGAATCCAAGGCTGTTGAACAGCAAGAAGCTGCAAGAAATGGGACTCGGAAACCCGATGCATCCATAGCTAGCAAAGGCCATCTTAGGTATGTTATTAGTCCCTTCTATTCCAAAATTTTATTACAACTTGATTTGTATAAATGATGGCTACGACTATGTTATTATGGACAGCGTATCGGATTTGCTTGACTATATTAATCCAAGTCATGATGGTCAAGGGACAGATGGTGTGGGTCTAAAAAGGAAAAGCTATATCCAGAAGGTATGTTTAATCATATGTACTATTGGTTGATAATTGAGATTGCCTTTCTTAATCTTATAATAAAACCAAGATTTGGTTTCTCCCATCTCTTTAGGTAAAGTTATGAAACTATAGCTAGACATGTATGAAAAGGGCAATAAATGAAGATTAATATTTCTAGCAGGATGAATGGTTGAACTTTAAATTGGAGGTTGACCATTTGACCCTTGGTTATACATGTAGCCGATCCAAACCGCAACCTTTTACTAGTCGTATGACGACCCTCTCCGTTTTCATCAATAAAGCAAGTAGAAATAATAGCATCCACTTGGGATACATAATGTTTCTAGTTGATGGGGAAGCTTTACCAAAAATTATTAGGTAGTCAGGTTGGATAGGGGCAACAAGGAAGAACAAATTTCTAGCAGGACTTAGGGCCCTTCTGGTTTGACAAAATGTTTTTGAGGGATATGGATTTCGTGGAAGGATTTGGAATGTGCTTGGTGTATAGGATTTGGAATGGAATTGAATCCATTCTTTATAAATAAATTATAAAAATAAATAATTACCTTTTTCTTAATTGATTGTTACAAAACAAGTGTTTTTAACATATTTAGACGTTATTACAAATAAATCCTATGAAATCCCGCGAAATACCAACTACCCCATGGGATTTCTAGATCCCATGGTGGGATTTCAAATCCAAGCATTCCTCCAAACCAAACCAAGGATTGAAATGGAATTTAATTCCAAATTCCAACAATCCTATCAAATCCCGCGGACCTTATGGTTCTTTTCACATTGGAGGTGAACCATCTTATCCTGTGGTGAACATGTAGCTCATCAAGACTTAGATCTCTAGTCGATTGTCTTCACTGTACATCTTCATAAAAAGTAATGTTACTGTATCTAAATATACTACATATTTCATTTCCAGTTGAAGGGGAAATCTTACCAAAACTTGGAGGTGGCAAATTCTGATGAGGCATCTCCAAAAGATCTGAAAGAAATTTTAGATGAAGCGAAACAAGAGCCGGACGTCGAACATGACATTCAGGTGAATGAAGAACCCACCGCTCCATGTATCGAGTCGAGTCCACCCATCAAGGAAGACACTGCTGAAGAAAAGTCAGTTCTTTCCGAGCTGCTGCAATCAGAGGAAACTGCTGCACAAATCCCCGTTTTTGCCAATGATGTCTTTCCTGAAGCACATGCTGAAGGAGAAGAAGGATGGCAACCGGTTCAAAGACCAAGATCAGCAGGCTTATATGGACGGCGACTTCGACAGAGGAAAGCGGCTATCAACAAGGTTTACAGTTATCAAAAGAAAGGTGTACTTCAGGAGTCTGAAGATAAATTGAAGAATGACTTTCAAAACGGTAGGTATCATTTCATAAAGAAACGAGTGATATCTCCTGCAAGTTATGTTGATTACCATGCTGCAAAGGTTCCCTCTCCTAATCATAAATTTGGACGGAGAATCGTTAAGGCTTTGACATATAGAGTTAAGTCCACACCTTCATCTGCCAAGGATACAACGGAAGAAACGTCTAGAAATGGTAGAGAGGAATCAAATCCTTCAATCGATGTTGCCTCAGTACAAAAGACAAAAGAAGCAGGACATGTACCACAAAGAAGTTCTATAGTTAGCATCGGAAAATCTCCTTCTTACAAGGAAGTAGCTCTGGCCCCACCAGGTACTATCTCTCTGTTGCAGGTCCGGGAGTTTGAGTCACAAAGCGATACTCCTGAAGACAAGGAAATCGATAATGGTAAACATGAGGAGCCTACCTTAGCGAAACAAAGTACAGAGTCTGCAGTGGCAGAAGTGGGAAATCTCGAGGAAGAGAAAGTTCAGGACCTATTTGGGGGTTCTGTAGACAATATGAAAGATGAAACAGAAGGTCTTGAAAAGACAGAAGAAACCCATTTGAGTGACTTGATAGGAGATAAACATCTAGAGACCATACCTGCAAACGTGGTGGAACAGAATGCAACCAGCTTTGTGGAGGTTGATAAGATAATAGACAAAAGTATCATTGACATTCCAATTCCAATTCCAATTGAGTCCTCCACTATAGAGGATCTATCTGAGAAAGGTTCGTCTACTAATGTTGAACCTACCGATGATTCAAGTTGCATCTTGCAAAAATCAGCTGTTTCAAACGATTCACCAGCAGTTACTTCTCCTAATTGTACTCAAGAACTCCCAAACAAGAGGTTGTCTGCATCAGCTACTCCATTCAGCCCATCACCACCTGTTCGAGTTGCACCAATGCCCATGAACATTGCTCTCCCTCCCGGTCCCACCCCATGGCAAATGAACATGACTCTTCACCCAAGACCCGCCAATGTCTTACCTGCAGTAAACCCAATGTGCTCCTCTCCTCACCAGCCATACCCTACATCTCCAGCTACCCCAAATATGATGCACCCATTACCTCTTATGTACTCTCCTCCATATACACAAGCTCCATCGTTACCCAACAGTACGTTTCCTATGACGAGCAGTCCGTTCCATCCCAATCATTTTGCGTGGCAATGCAATATGGGTGCTAATGGGTTACAGTATGTTACTGGGCCAGTTTGGTCCAACTGCCATCCAATGGAGTTCTCCATCTCACCACCAGCAGTGAGGCCGATTTCTGATCCAAACATGGAGGCAAAACAGGTGTTTGATAGCTCTGAACAACTTAATGGAACTCCTAATCTAATGGTTGAGGTTAGCAATGAGGATGAAAGTAAGCAAGACGCGAATCTTCAAGCACCAAAAGTTATTGATGAGTCTAATGGAATCGTTGGGGTTCAAGCAGAGAATGGTGGTTCTATCTACAATGGCAGTTCAAATTGGAATCTGGGAAGCACCGGAGAAAATCATGTGCAAAAACCATCTCAAAAGGTTGAGACTGAGAAGACCTTCAATATTTTGATCAGGGGCAGAAGAAACCGGAAGCAGACTTTGAGAATGCCAATTAGTTTGCTGAACAGACCATATAATTCTCAGTCTTTCAAAGTTATATATAGCAGAGTAATCAGAGGAAGTGAAGGTCCAAAGTCTACCAGCTTTTCTTCTGACGGAAATGGGGCAACAACTGGTACATAAGGCTATGCCTCATGCTTTGCCTGTATAGCAAAATGCTTCAAAGAGTAGCACAGAAGTGTAGTTCCATCATTTTGCCCCTTGCACAGAAGATCATGGTGCCATGGATCGTGAAGTTTTTTAGGTATGAAGTTACATGAATCTCCAATCATCACAATGTCGCTTCAAGCAAATTTACAGGTTAGTATAAGAGCTGCATGCTATCTGCTTACATGATTTTCAAATTCTTCTATAGAAATAGAAATGAACTTGATCAATATATTATGGACCTAAACTATTTGCTAGAAACTGTTAAAGTCTTAACACAAAACTATATAATTTTCTAGCTTTTTCTTTTGGAAGGGTATCCCGGGATATGCCTGGACTAATCCCGGCAAATTGTGATTGCAAGAAATGAAATCAGCCCCTGATAAAACTCTTGGCCACAATTGTTGTGTATGCCTGGAATCAAAACCCTGTGCAGATGGGATATTCCACCACATCCCTCAGGACCTCAATCACTACACCAAAACCCTTGAGGTTTAATTTTCTAGCTTTATTGGTGGGAGAACTTAGAGTCCAACTTCTCTAGGACAGTTTAATTCCTTGACCCTTGAATTGAGATGAACTCTTTTATCATCAGATTTCATTTTTCTAGAAACATAATACTTCGGACTTTTAGATATCTGCTAATGACTTTGATTCTGTTCTCAGAAAAGAATACATTCCCATGGTTGGATGAAATTGTTGAGATTTCTGGTGAAAGTTGTAATATTTCACTTTTAGGGGACTTTTCAAGTTTCAATGATCTATTTGTCAAGTTATAAATATTGATTTGGGGTCCATAATATTCCCTTATTCTGTCATCGTTGAAGGGTATGTAAGATATTCATACTTCTAGAATAATGATGCGTCAAATCGTCAATCTTGATAACATTTTCATTTCGCTTATGAGTTTGTTTTCATGGCTCCCAGGTTCAAAACCAGACGGTATGCACTCCACATGGGAATCCAGAGATGTTGAATATTGGCAATAACACATTCCATTCTTGATTCATATGAAGGCTAAATCGAGTTTTGCGTTTGTTCCTCTCCCTCGCTAGCTTCGACTTTGATGATTAAATTGGATTTAATTGTATATGATACCATTTTTGTTCAAACTGAGTTTGATTTAGACAGAACTGCATACGAAGTTTCCTGGTGAACCATGCGGTAATGCTGCTGATACTAATAATAGAAGCAATATTTAATTCATGCGTCGATTCTTGGTTTTTCTTTGTTCTTCAATTTTGAAGGATATTATGCGGTAGAGATGCAGATCATTATGTTACACATTATGCATATGCAATTTGTTACTCTTGCTATTCTTAGTATTACTTGTTAGCTCCATCCTATATTCTTTAGCATGATGGGTTCTTCCTCTAATTTGGAAAACCTCCACAAGGAAGTGGATTGTTTTTGATAGGTACTGGTAGGATATGTGACCCCTTTGAATCTCTCTCTAGGATATGCGGTAGAGATGCAGATCATTATGTTACACATTATGCATATGCAATTTGTTACTCTTGCTATTCTTAGTATTACTTGTTAGCTCCATCCTATATTCTTTAGCATGATGGGTTCTTCCTCTAATTTGGAAAACCTCCACAAGGAAGTGGATTGTTTTTGATAGGTACTGGTAGGATATGTGACCCCTTTGAATCTCTCTCTAGAAGAACCCTTGTAGAAAGATAGGAGGTTCCTACATATATACAAGTTTGATGGTCCATGTCTAGCCGATGTGGGACTGCAATAGGTGCCTTCAGATAATGTGCCAAAAGGGGAAAACTCGTGCCAAGGGAGGTGTTTGTAACATCTTAGGCGATTACAAGGAGGAAGATTCTAGACAGACTTGACATTTAAGTGGGGGAGTTTGTAACAACCTATCCCACATGGATAGAAAAACATATTTGTGAGCTTCTTAGAAGCTCAAAGTTGTGGGCTACCAATAACTTCCACCATGGTTTTATGTTGAATCCGAAGTTATTGGGCCAACCTATTGCTTTGGGCTTTGGGGCATTATAAATGGTATCAGAGCCGATCCTTGTACATCGCAGATTACAAGGAGGAAGATTATGGGCAGACGTAACGAGGACGTCTGGAGTTTAAGTGGGGAAGTTTGTAATAACATCCCACATGGATAGAAAATGGGATTTGTGAGCTTATAAACCTCAAGTTGTGGGCTACCAAATAATTCCCACCATGGTTTTAAGTTGTATTCAGTTATTGGGTCAACCACTCAGCTTGTTGCTTTGGCTTAGCAAGGTTACACACACTAGGACACTAGGGTACACATATTCTCTCAAAAAAATACTATGGCCTCTTCATTTACGTCGTTTGAATAGTAACATGACATATACGCCTTTCAAGCTGGCAAAATGGTGATTTTGTAGTACAGTTGGAGATGCCCTAAATAAGCTAGCTAGCAATTAGGAACAACCATTTCGGAAGATGGAGGTCAAATAAGTACATGTAGATGGTTTTCAGGAAAACCAAATCACACTCCACATTTATGTATATGGAAGTAGTGTGCAACGGGAAGGCAAGCTAATCTACTCCTTGGGGTAGATGATAGGTCTGAGTACATCCCACCCTTGAGACCTCACTTCCTTGCAGGATATACCATGCTCGTTATGTTTCATTTGGTTTTTTGAAGTAGAGTGCAATGGCTCATATACACACTGAGAGAAATACCATGCCCTATTTCGGTAAATAGAGTATATACACACCCGTAACATGGAAAAATTCACAACTCTTAGATCTCGATTGCTCTAAGTGTGTTTGGTATGTAAGACAAGACAAAACAAAAACTTGTCTCACATTTGATGTGACATTAGACTGGGACATGAGATGGGACATGAGAAGGACTTAGTGGGACAACAAAAATGCATTTTTTTGTCCCGGAGAGATAAGAAAAAAAAAAGGAAGATGACACAAGATTGATAAATTATGGAACTACCCATGTCAAATTAGAACACTAAAACCTTGCGCAATTCTTTCAGCCGCCTACCTCATTCTAGTCCGTCCATTCCTGTCCAACCCGTCTACGTACCAAACGCAATTTAGAATCTAATCTTTGACCGTGTTTATCCGATGGAACTCTAAATGAGAGGGTCCATTACAACTAAATAGCTTCATAAGGTTGTCAAGATCCTTGAACACTAAACACTTGTTTAAGTACACATACTAATGTAAAGAAATACAAAACAAATCATACAAAAAACTAAAATTCTAAGATCTCTTAAAACACGAAGTTTGAACATTTATGCAAATGCAGCTTGTGGCATGCTCTCCTCCTTAACAAGTCCCTTTGCATACACTGCTTCTTTGATGAGTTTTAGCGAGTCTTCAAGATCATCTAATAGCTTGTGAGGATCTGGGATGGTACTTTCATCAACCGAAAGGACTATTGTCATCTTATTCACATAGCTTTGGAAATTAATCATCAAACCCTAACATCATATGGTAAAAATGAGGACAAGTAGAATGTTAGCTCGATACAATAAATCATGATATAGATTCGTCTCTTAAAATAACTATGCTAGCTAGAAAACAAGGCTTTCTAAGATAGAAAGTCGTGGGTAAATTCATGTTTTCATGATGTCACCCTTTGGAGTGCCCCCACCATACCTGCCCAGCCATTGGGGGGTATATTGTGTTTCCCAGAGGAAGGTGGGTGGTGCGTGGTGTCGAACCACAGACGTCTCACTTATTCTGCAAAGATGCCCACCTCTTCATCTACTAGGCTAAAGCCGCATGGACTTCATGTCTTATGATGCAAAGCTCTTTCAAACTCACATTACCATATATTTTTACGACACATTTTATGTTGCTATGTTTGCTCATAACGAGAACTCTTTTTCTTCGAATGTTGTATCTAGAGATGCACACAAAATTCCAGTCCCGAAAAAGCCCAGGCCTAGTAAGCCCCGAAGACAAAGCCCAGGCCACGCCAATACTTTTTTTTTGAGACTCGGTTAAAAGTTGAATTGAAAAGCCTGGCCTGAAAAAACGCTATTGGACCCGTTTTCACACACAAAGCTTGGCTGGGCTTAAGAAGGTACAAACTTTTTTTGCTTACTAGAATGGGCTTGGAAGGGCCGAGCCTTGTGCATGTCTAGTTATATGTACGTGTCCATGTGTGTCATTATTGGTTCTAGCGACAATACGTAGAAATATAAACATACAAGCGTATCCTTACATGTGGTTGACCGTAAGAACTAGGAGCAATGAATTCCATGCCATGGCCATAAAAGCCAATTTCTTCGAGAGGCCCAACCAGGTTTGAGAAACACAACGTTGTATGAGTGATGATCTTGTGTGAAAGCGAGCTTGCTGCCTGTGGTTAGACGGAAAAAAGAACACACATTTGCCCGTCACTAATCTAGTATATCGTGATAATACAAGATGTCACAAAATAGAGTCGCACACAATAAAATATGGTTTGGTTAAAAGTAGTTCGAAAAAAGCCCGGATAGATGTTTGGATGTAGCAAGATAAAGACCGAACCTGGACCGACATGGTCCTAATCTTGGTGAAAAAGGTTGGGCCTAGTTTGGGTTTTCGATGGACTAGTATTTTCTTTGATCCAAAAAAGGACCGGCGGTTTAGCATTGCAGATGATGAGTTGCTTCCGATAGTGACTACCAACCGAACTCGAAAACAAAAATACTCCCGCCAACCACAAGGGTGGTGCCTGGTTGGTTTGAGCTTGGCTCCAAAGGTCAAAAGTATATGGAGGTCTCAGGTTCAAATCCAAGGAGAAATAAAAATCCCCTTGTGGCCACGGGGGTTCAAATGCAGTGACTCCGGGCTATCTGCAAAGCAGGTGGTCGTCCTGGAATTAGTCGGCTCGCATAGTGGGTTGGATATCCAGGTTAATAAAAAAAAAAATACTCCCGCCATGTCCATGCAAAGTAAAGGCGTATTGCAAAGCCTTTTTTGTTTCAAGATAAGAAGATTGAGACGAATGACGGGGTTTGTGATAGTGAGGAAATCACCTTAATGCCAAAAAATTTAAGAACCAACTCGGATATTGAGAATGTATACAATGCCTCGAGGGAGTGCTTTTTGCGATCAATCGTGGCCTTGGCTTCTCTAACATAGTCTATCGGATCATCTCTTATACCAATGGTGAATGGCAAGAGCACGTAACCGATCCAATTTCCCCACTTCGCTTCAGTGTTCTTCTCCATCATATCCGCCAATGCCTGATATTTACTCCAAAAATCGATCAAATATACCAAAAAAATACGATTTCAACTTTTTAAACTACCAAATTTTGACTGTTCAGAAATGTGTAATTATTTCACTTTTTAATCAACTAAAGGCATGTTTGTTAGCAGCTTAATGGGACTGACTAACAGTTTATTTAGTCAGCTATACGTAACTGTTTAGTAGTGGCTTAATGATATAAAAAGTGACTTCTGTAAGCTTCTAGGTGCGTAGGAGCTTTATACAGAAAACCAAGTTTTTCCCAAACCTGTCATTCCCAATTAAAAAGCACGCTCCTTCCGTTTATGGGAAAAAAAAAAACTCTTAAACAAAAAGGATCTATACATAGAAACAACAGGACTTGATGGAAATCCAACCAAACAGCCCCTAAATAATAATTTTATCCTTAATAATAGATTCCATCTCATAATTAAGGTAAAACCGAAAGGTAGACATTAACTTTTGGTAGTCTGACACTTATTCTTGGGACAAAATAAAACATAAACGTGGATAGGACAGATAGAGCACAAGAAGAAGTAAAGACGGTATCTGGGAAACAAACATCGGCTAGCTCTGTGCCAGCAACCGCGGTAATACAACAAACAAATGATTTTTATTATTACATTGATTGAAACACTTACTTGAATGCCTGAAGACGGTCTTAAGTTGATTAAAAGCGTCGAACGCAAACGTATCTTCTTTCTCGGGAGGTTGTTTTTCTTCGCAGTTGAGGTTGCACCTTTCTGACCTTAAAAAATGTCAAATATGGTCCTTTTTTAAACTTTTTGTCAAAAAACACGGATTTCTTCAATTGTGTATGCTGTAAAACTCTACTTTCATGTATGCTACGACTATAACCGCTAGTAAAACATAGATTTGGTTTTAATTAAATTCATAGTTTAGGGGGTGTTTGGGATTGCTTATTTAAAACAACTTATGCTTTTTTGTAAAAGTGCTTATTAACTTATGTGGTATCAAACTGAAATTTTGTAAAAAGTGTTTGGATTAGCTTATAACGGTACCAAACCGCAATAAGCTGATAAGTTGTTTTTTAGTGTTTGGCAAATTTTGCTTATATCTGTAAAATGACCAAAAAGAACAGAGAGAAGATTGATATTTTTATCAGGAGAAGGGAGAAGATTGAGATCGATGTTATCTGGAGGAAAAGAGATAGGTATAAAGGGTAATAGGGTTAAAATGGTAAACTGGTAATAAGCAGTTTTTCATAAATCAGGACGGATTAACTTATCAAAAACTGCTTATTACCGGTTTGGCACCGGTATAAGCAATTTTCTTTTTTCTTATCCAAACACTAGGTATTAGCTTATCACCGGTGCCAGACTGAAATAAGTCAATAAGCAGATAAAATAAGCAATCCCAAACACCCCCTTAATATAACAAATTCTGTATATTAATGAACGATAAAAATGCATCAAAATGTAAACAAATTCAGAGATTTTTTCTCGGTCAATATAACAAAAATTTAAATTTTGTTATTTAATACTCACTTTAATTGGTATTTCACTTATTTTTATCCTTTTTAATTGGTATTCTTCATGAAATGTTTCTGTTAACGAAGTGTTTGACAAACTTGATATTCATGTCATCAAATGTTGCATTAAAATAGAAAAAATTTGTAAGTTCGTTACATCGATCGGGAAATTTTGAAACTTTATTATAATAAATAATTTTTTTTTGAAATTTTGTTAAATTGATTGAGAAATTTCCAAACTTTTTTACATTAAATATAAAAAGGTTGACTTGATTGAGAAATTTTGAAACTTTGTTACATTAAACGGGAAAAACTGATTGAAAATTTTGAAACTCTGTTAAATTAAATAGGAAAAATTCTTTTATACAGAATCAAGAACTAACCATATCTACGGTCGAGATACCGTGATAATCCAGCCTGAGTGACGCCTAATGCAACGTCGTTAATCGTCTGTAAAAATGAAAAACAAAACGATATATTTTTAATAAAATTACTAGTAGAATATAAACATTGCATAGAAAATAAAGTATATTTTAAATCATTTTTAGTTTATAATTATTCATACTCTAATTTTTTTTATTACGATAAATTCTAAATTCCATGTATTTATTTTGAAAAAGCTCTAGGATTTATATTTTCAAAAATACATTTTAATTATGTTAAATCATAATATAAAAAAGATTAAATTACTTTCTTTAGTTCATGCGGTATATCAAAAATGGCGATTTTTATTACAATCTCTCGTTTAGAAATTATGATTTTTGTTTCTATAATTATAATTTGTTGTTGTTTTTATATTTTTTAACTGTTTTTGTCCTTTTTACAGTTTTACTTATACGTAGGAATTAGTTTAGGGCAAATTGCATGAAAAAATAATGTATTTTAACTTGATTTTAAAACTTCCATTTTGATATCTAAGATGTAAAGTCTTAAACATTTAAGTACTCGGGTAACTAGTTGAAGCATTAACCGGTTACTATGTTGATGTGGCGAGTGATATATCTAACTCAATATTAAGGTATTTATGCCGATATCACTTGTCATTAATTAACCCATGCTTAATTAGCAAGCAGACACATCAGCATCATGGTAACCGGTTAATGTTTCAACTGGTTATTCAGGTACTTAAATGTTTAAAATTTTATATTTTAGATATCAAAATAGAATTTTGAAAATACGTTACTCATAATATGAATCAAGTTAAAATAAGTTATTTTCTCATGCAATTCATCCAATAGTTTATGAATGAAAATAGCAATAAATTGCAAATCAGAAAAGGAAAACTTGCGGTTCCAAAACCACATGAACTAATTTACTTTATAAGAAAATTAGTGGTAACCCCAACATTTAAAGGTGACTCACCAAATTCATGGCATTCTTGACGAGCTTCATGTCGTCAAGACTAACCGTCCGGTAAACGAATCTCCTCGGAGTAAACTCAGCCCCCGCCGGAGCTTTTAACGGCGTTTCTGTGTCCTTCAAGAACAATGCAGTCGCCATAAAATACGCCACATCCACTAACGTATTCCAAACCAGCCAGAAACCCATGCAAACCATCATGAACCACCGGCGCCACCACGGGTCTCCACTGCCGGATCTGGAGCTGTAGTAGGAAAACCAGCCGGAATTCTTATTGGTGGGAATGGTGGGGACGGCGTCGGGATTAGAGATCTGGCGAGTACAAGCAAGTAGCAAAGACATGAGGGAGGTGCCGTCGCCTAGGGAGTGATGTATGCGGAAGATTCCGACGGCCTCCGCGTCGGAGGTTTTGAGGTTGAGGAGATGGAGATCCCACATGGGTTTTGAAGAATCAATGGAGGTTTTGCTGAGATTGTAGACATAATCTTCGAGGAATTTATCAGGGGAATCTAGGGTTTGTGGGATGGTAGGGATGATGATGTGGTTATCTAAATTCACATCTGTTGGAACCCATTTCATCGTTCCGCCATTTTTGTCGTCCACAACCTGCAAGATGTTCGAAAATCAGAATAACCCGGAACGACACCGTTTAGCTGGCTATTGACTTATTGAGTTTGACCCGGGTTTTACCGGAGACGGAATGTTAATCTCCGTACCCACCGGGGACCGAGGCCGGGGGCTATTACTAAAAACCGGGGTGGAGGCCAAGGATTACAGAACCCCGCCCCATACTTGCCCCGTTACCATGCCTATATATTAGGCTCAACCAAAAGTCAGTCAATGTTCTTTTAACATCCATATTTTGGAAACGTGTGAGAAAAAAAAATGATGATGAGAAACGTAAGAAGAAATTTGAACCGTTTATCACTTTTAATCTCATGTCCATCAATGAATTGCGCTTTATAAGGGAATTGATCCGTGACTCCGTGTACACCTCATTAGTGTTGACATTCAATTAAGATTGATTCAAGAATGAAGATATCTTTTTATGCTTATCATATGTTGTATGATAAAAAAGTTAATCAATTTGGTAAAATTAAATTCGTATTAGTTAATTTATTAAAATGAGTATTTATTTTAGCTTTGTGTGTGTGTGAACGTTTTTAATTTAGAATAAAATGAATTAACAAAATTCATCAAATAAGTATAAAATTCAAATAGCCATCATCATGGATTGTATTAAATCAGACACAATATTACCTGCAAACTAGAGAAACGATGATGCTTAAGCAGTGTGTGTGGCAACTTCTCGTAAATAATACAAGGGTTGATGGGGTTCTTGGAACCTATAATCGCTATGACGTACACATTGAAATTTGGTTCATGGAATAAACGTGCAGCTGGGCTCAATGGTTGCTCTTCACCGCTCGTTGTCATATACTGGTTATTAACACTGTCGTAATCGTGGTTGATACTGCCACCATTGATGCCGTTTGTAATGGTGGTTTCAAGACCTCTCTTGGTGATTTGAATAGGTTTTAGAGATGTTTTTCTCCATCGTAGACCCTTTGTAAGAGACTCCATTGATGGATGTTGAGTTTATACGAGACTTAGATTCCTTTATATAGTCTTTATAAGCAATAAATGTCGATTGGTTTTGAAATAGTTGGGAATATAAACATCATAAATTTGAACAAATCGGTATAACAAATTTGTTTTTATGACGTTTTCATATGATATATATATATATATATATATATATTAAATGTGTCGTATAAAAAGATTTATTGGACGATTTACTTTTAGAAAACTGCTTTACAACTACATATCGTGTTAAGTTATTCAAACTTGTCTTAACGATTTATTCAAATCGTAACGTTCTTTATATAAGATGCACATGTTCTTACTAGTATTCCATCAGAATGAATGTGGATCGAATGCCATAGCAGGGACGGATCCAGAATTTTTTTCAAAAGGTGGCACCATTTGACTATAAGAAAAAAAATATAGGGAAATTTTTTTCGAATGGTGACACCATTTGACTATAAGAAAAAAAAAATATAGGGAAATTTTTTTTCGAATGGTGGCATCGAATGAATATAAGAAACAAATATACGAAAAAAATTCAAATGATGACACCATTTGACTAAGAAAATGACACTAACAAAATTCAAACATGGGTTTGGGGTGGAATAAAAACATTTGCAGACCAATTTTACCAAATAAAATTTATTCTTATTGTAATTTTAAATACATACGATGGTACACAACAAATTAATACGATTGAACCTTTCAAGAACCTAAAATAAATAATTCATTTATTTTTATCAAATTATTGTAAGTTGCATACTAGAAAGATTAAAGGAGTTTAATTGATACATATAATGTATAGATTATGGAATATATAACAAGAATGTATTCTTGTGGAATATGATTTCAATCACACATATGGTTGGGTTCCGGTAAAAAATAGAGTTAAGGTGATAAGTATAAGAGATCTTCATCTTTGGATGTATATTAGGATGAGATGCACCAAGATGTATCAAATCAATCCTCGTATCAAGCGCGACTCATGAGTGAGTTTGAGAGTAAAGATGATCAATGATCTAGATTCATTCTTATGCTTCTTGTCTTAACTCAACTTCTTACACGATCTTTCGTCCACACACACACACATATATAGGCGAAGGATCGTGTGAGAAGAGAAGTTATAGGAAAATCGTAAGAAAAAAAAAATGAAACTTTGATCACTCATACTCGTCCATGAATTGCACTTTAAAGAGAAATTGATTCGATGTTTCTCGATGCACCTCATTCATGTTGACATTCAATTAGGATTGTACCAAGAGTGAAGATACGTTCTAACGTTTCTCACCATAACTTTCCTTCTCACTATAACTTGGTCAATGCTACCAAGGGTCGCAGGAAAAGTCACCTTCTCGCTCTATGCCCTGTCAATATAACAATGTTTGTATCACATGTAATCTTTAAACTTCTCGAATTATCATAAATTGACCGTTTTTTCATTTGATTTGTATCTTTCACGTATATATGATTGATTATTTTATTATATATATATATATATATATATATATGACGTTTCAAATGCAACTCATCACATTTATACAACCAATGCAATTCAATCAATTGAAATATTTATAGAAATAATGAGAGTCCATTTATTATTATTTGAATATTTATGAAAGATGATTAAAGTTTATTAATTATGATTAATATTTTATATTAAGAAACAATCAAAACTTTTATTAAATCATATATTCATTAAATTAAATGGACGATTGAGATTAAATTGTATCGATTGTACAAATGTAAAATGTTGCATAATAACTCACCTATATATATATATATATATATATATATATATATAATAAAAATAATAAATAGAATTGAAAAAATGAATTTAGATTTGCTAAAATAGTTGAATATTTTATAATTATAGAAATGAATATAGATAAATGAAAATAGGTGGGAATTAATAGCATTAATATACATCACCTTCACCCCCCAAATCCAATGATGACATATTTGCCATATCTCTCTCATCACTCTACTCACTAACCATATCATCATTTAATATTTTAGCACTTCAATAAAAAGGCTAAGAAATTCAATCATATATTATTAATTAATATTTTCATATTAAATTTTATAAAAATACAAGTCTTTTTTTTAATCTATTTACACAATTGTTTTGAGTTTTTTATGCACGAAAACGAGGCGGGTAATGCATTCCTTCTGTTTAAGCTCTCGACTTCAACTCTGTCTTAACTAGAGATGGAAATTTTACTCGTAGAGACGGGAATTACTCGGTTTGACACTACTCGTCCAATACCAATCTCGTTTCCATCCGTAGCATCGATTAATCACTAACAGGTTTGGAGGGAAGGAATCCCAACGGGTTCGAGGACACCGTTGCGTACCTATTTAGTAAAAACAATGTATTTTGAAATTAAAATTATAATGAATCATCAGTATATTAATTACCAATACTGGAAATCAAATATATTTTTCACTTGATGATAAATGTATACATATATATTTATTTATACACATACACTATATACATATATCACTACAATAAAATTGGTTTTATAGGACAAGTAGAATGTTTAAGCGTCTGAATATAATACGTTATAGAACATAAGTTTGTAGGATCAAACTATAAAACGTCAAATCTAAAAGCATTACAATAGGTTTATAGGACACTTTTAAGCATTCTAAAGACTTTTTAGGACGCTTTTTTAAAGCAAAGTGTCATGTTAGCTATTTTTATAGGACATTTTTTAGAACTGTCCTGTAAAAACCTATTTTTTATAGTACACTTGTGTTTATAGGACTATTTTTCAAATAAAATCATATAAAATAGTTAATACAACACTTCAATTTAAAAAGCGCCCTAACAAACTTGTTCAAACGTTAAAAAACGTCATATAAATATGTTGCAACACTTTTAGACAATACACTTTTTGGTTTAATCCTATAAAGTATTTTATTAGAATGTTTAGCTATTTTATGCGTTGTATAAAACCAATTTGTTGAAGGGTATTAAATAAAAAGTAAAAAAAAAAATTAATCTGGGTCGGATTAGGGGCAAATAATGCTACTCTCAACCCAACTTTGCAATAAGATTCTAGTCAATCGTGACGGTATCATATGCAATAATTTATCTGGTAAGCACTAACCGGGTAAGAGTCGTCATCCTCACTTTTTGGGTAAGACTCTTGTTCCTTGCCATAATTCTTACTAGGTAAGATTCTAGATCCTTGCCATGTACATTTAGTAAGGTAATTAATCCAGTAAGCACTTACTGAATAAACGTTTAGTAAATGACTCTTAGATCCTACTTAATGCATCCTACTTTGTCTGCTTGAGTGGTTTGCAAGAGAGTGCCCTTATAATGAGCGATTTTTTTCTCGTGGAGAAGTCTCTCGATACGAGCTCGAGGAAATGGAGTAGGGTAAGGAGTCGGAAGCACTCTAAATCGCAATGAAATTCTTCTAGCTCTTAAAACTCTTTAATATTCATGCATCTTGCTTTTATACTTATGTTTTCACTAAAGAAAATCAGTTACGAATAGTAGATTATTCTAAAAACCTATTCGCCTCCATCTGGATTTTCATTTTACAGATAACTTCCTCTTAGAGATGTTTCATTTGGGTTTAAAACTTTAACGTCTGTTTTCTTTTAGTGGAGCATATGGTGGCTTGTGTGCTACTGCTTTATGGTTCCATCACACAGTGAAAGAATTACGTTTCTGAAAGATGTCACCATATTGTTTCATAGCACCTCTATATCTCTTAAAACTATACTTATTACAGAACTTTTGAGTTAGTTGAGTTGATTTTATGCCCTTGATTAAAGTTTTGCCTTCCAAAGAGCACATATTTGAACCCTACTACTAGCAAAAAAAACCCGTTTCTAGCTTTTAGTATTGTGTTTCTTTATTATTGTAGCTTTTCGTTTTTGAAAAATGGGGAATCAGCAGTGGAACGGATCAAACCCGTGAGGTTTTTTTTTAATACAAGCAACCAACCAAGTAAAATTAGTATGATTTTATTAAAAAGGTATATTAGCTTTTATCTTTATGGTCGTATGATGCCATCATATGAAATATTTGTTAGATTCGCCTTTTCGTCTCTTTTAAGGTGGTTTATGACTCTTTGCACACTTATCATTATCTTTAACATGGGTTTTATTATTCAATTATTGCTTCTACCATGCATTTTTAGGTGTGGATATGATATTCACTGACACTTGATTTTTATGAGTGAGTTGCTTCTAGAAACAACCTCAATTGGTTGTAACTACGTCTTTACTCTCGGGTTAATTGATGTTTTGGATCATTTCATTGTATACGGCTTTGTCTCTGTGTTTTTAGTGGCATGTTAAACTACGTTTTAGACGTAGGCTCGATCTGTTTTTAGACAAATTCCACTGTTTCGAAAAACTTTTTCGGGTTTCTGGTTGATTTCAAGAGACTTTTCTATTTTTTTAATGTCCTTTAGACTTTTTTGGTTAATTTTTTACAGTCTCAAGATATGACCTAAAAACAAATTTATGACAAAACAACAAGTGATCAAATCAATAACTAAAACTAGATTACAAAATCATATTTAGGGTGAATCTTAATTTTCGAGTTAGGGTTTACGGACAATACAGTGATAGATCTTGAGTTTGAGTGAGAGAACAAGAACATGAGTTTTCAAGAGCACCCCTTGGATTTTTAGATATTACGAAACACCACTTAAAGTTGAACAGTTGCACATTTCAATCCTTAAATCATTTCCTTTAGATTAATTGGTTGAACAGGTGCACGAAACCCTCTTCGTGCCTTCATAGGTTTGACCCTGTTATGGAGATTTGATTATGGTTGAAGAAGAGCGCGTTTTGACAAACCTTGTCGATTTCAGTGATTCACGTATAATCCAAATAGTCTCTAAGAGCTTGAAGCCCTGAACATGTTATGCTTTACGGGTAGATTTTGTGTGCCACTGGATATGGTTTTGATGGTATTGTCAACTCAAACGTTGTACATACTTAATTTGGATTTTTTTCCATCTCAATATATTGCAAAATTTGAATATAGAAGTCTAACTTTTGTAAGTATTATCATCCACTCAAATTTCATCACACACGCAGTTCATTGGAGGTATTCTAACCCCAATCTCGTCATTGTTGGTCGAAATGAGAACCATTTTTTGTTCCATAGAGGTCGTGTAATCCAAATCCTTTCAAACTATAAAGTCAAATTTGGAATGACGACTATGGTGTAATTAGGAGCGATGCTTGTATCCATGGTCTCCATTTTGGCCCTCCACTGGCACAACTGTGTGAACGTGAAGTATTCGATGAGCAAATGACCACAGTTGTTTAAAGGTAAACATAAAAAAAGGTGTTTATATTTTATACTATGAGGTTTTTGATCATTTCTCTTTTTCTTTTATTTTCAAACTCTTGCCAATATTACAAGTAGGGGTGCTCAAAAACCCGACTAACCCGATCAACCTAACCTAATGCGAAATAACTCAATCTGAAGCAACCCGATGTCTAATCAAATTGTAAAATTTTCAAACCGTAGGTATTGGATTGATATTGGAATACTATTATTTGAATGCGATATACATAAGAAGTATGGATAAGTTGTATCAAATGGTTGGTGATGAAAAAGAAATTATGAATAGAGAAATAACATATTTAAGGTTAGAAGAATATTTTAATGTACCAAAGTATCAACCCGACCAACCCGTACGATTTGGGTTGGTTGGATTGCATTGGGATGAGTATAGTTAAGATTTTTCAAACCGCAAACATTGGTTGAGTTGTTCAAATGTCTTCAACTCGATCAATCCAAATCATGAGCACTCCTAGCTATAAGAATTAACTCTATGAATAGAATATATTTGTTTTATTGATTTTTCTATTTATATAACTACATAATGAATATCGTCTCTTTTTTCTCTGTTTTTTCACTTCACAGTTCTCAAATCGTGCAATGAATATGTGTGTGGTTAGGGCGACGATAGGTGAATGTGGATCAACAATGTAACGCTTTATTTAGTTTTTTTGACGGTTCCTTTAATGGCAAACGTATGGTAGTTGAAGAATGAATTGCATTTATCCTTGCAACTTACATGTGTTGGGTTGGGTTCGGGGCGGATCTAGTGCATGGTGGTACGGGTCCTAGGCCCCCAACAAACCCACCAATATTTATAAAAAAAACTATAAAAAGATTTGTTTGGTAAAATTTTCTATTGTGCAACAACAAGAACAAGACAAGAGCTTCCAACTTGATATCATGATTGTTAATTGGTCCATTTGCAGCACAAATAATATTTTTGTTCGAAATATAAAGTATAAAAATTATACATCTCGATGAATTAGTAAAAAATCAACTGAAAATCGACATAAATAAGTTATCTTTATTCAGTTAACTGAACCATTTAAGCCGAAAATGAAAACCCAAAACCATTTTCATCCGGATTAATAACTATTTGGTTTTGAATTATTTTTTTCTACACCCTAAGTGTGCACCCAACTATAAAAGTTTTTGGATCCACCATTGGGTTGAGTTCACGTGAGACCAACCTATTTTTGTGAGACCATTTTTTTTACATTTGAAACTTCACAACAAAATGTTGTGAATGTAAAAAAAGCCAAACTTTCACAGCAAAAAACACCGTGAGGTTTTAAGTGTAAAAAAATGTTCTCACGAAAACAGGCTGGTCTCATGTGGTATAAGTCTACATGTGTTTATACAATAAAACTTAAAAACAAACTAAGAAAATCACAATTCTCTACATGGAAAAAATATAAATTATAGACAATTTGATTATTTGAACAGATGATCCAAAATGAAAAAAACATGAGATATTTTGTGAAATTCTTCAAAATTTGAAAACTCCCTAAAAATTATTATAATATTTTTTTATTTATTAAAGACTAAAATAAAAAATTTATTATTTTCCTTTATTCCAAGATTTTATAAATGTATGGCTCTCATACAATACATTCACAACATCCCATTCTCATTCCTCTTTGTGTTTCCTCACTAAAAAAAGTTTGAAATTAAATATTTAGAAGAAATAAATAATCATTTATTTCTTTAAAATTGAAAAACCGATGTAATTCTTTTTAAGGTTTGGAAATTATGATTTTAAATTTTAGAAACTTTTAAGAATCTGTTGGATATGTCTTATATAAATCATTTATTTTGAATTTAATTACAATAAATAAAAAATAATAGTGGCATGGTATTTAGTGGTGGGTTGGGGTAGGTGGTGGGGTGGTACCTGTGATGATGCTAGTGGTGGGATAGTGGTCGGGAGGCTGCGGCCAGGGAGTGGGTGGGTATGACGACAATAATAGTGGCATGGTATTTAGTGGTGGGTTGGGGTAGGGTGGGGTGCAGGTGAATGGCGGTTGTGAAGGCGGCAATAGTATTGTGGGGGTGGAGGGTTAGGTTAAGGGCGGCAGGGGCGGAGAGGTGGGGATCAGTGACAGTTGTGACGATGATAGTGGTGGGATGATGGTCAGGGTGATTGGGAGTGGGTGGGTATGATGACGACAATAGTGACATAGTGGCTAGTGGTGGTTAGGGTAGGGTGCGGTAGGGTGAGTGACAGTTGTGACGACGACAATAATGTTGTGGTGGTGGAGGTTAGGTTAGGGGTGTGACAGTAACGTTAGTAGCATAGTCGTAGTAGGGATGTGTAGTGAGTGACCGGAGGGTGGGTGGGTGTAATGACAACAGTATGGGCATAGTGGTTAGGGTGGGTGCAGCGACATCACTGGTGGGGGTTAAGGGTGGGGCATCATGAACAATAGTAGCATGATCGTGGTGGATGGTGATGGAATTCAATTCCTTCCATTATGCCAAGGAATGATGAATTCATTAACTTGTGGAATTCAATGAAATTTGAAGGATTCCATCTATTCAAGAAATGAACCAAACAAAGGAATTGGAATTTGGTCAAAAGAATTTGTCATTCCAATTCCATCAAATTCCTTCGAATTTCGCGAGCCAAACGGATCCTTAGGGTATTTGAGATTACTTATTTGAAACAACTTATGTTTTTTACAAAAAACATTTATCAACTTATTATAAGTTAAAAGTTTAAAAACTCTTTATTATCAGTTTGACATCGTATAAGTTATTTATCCAAATACTTAAAAATAATTATTACCAATGTCATACTAGAATAAATCAATAAAATCATAAAATTTGATATGGTTTTCCGTTAATTTACTTGCGGTTGAAACCCCAGCGGAAAGGGGCTTCCTTTTTGACTCACCACCTCCCTTTCAGAAAGGCCAACCAAAACCCTCCTCTCCTATCTGCGATCTTGGCGCTGGAAAACGGAAAATTTCTGCCGCCAAAATCCACATTCTCCTTCTGATATTATGAATTGAAACGAAGAAATGTAAGTTTCTTCAGAATCGCACTCACGGGATTGATTGATTGATTGATTGATTGATTAATAATTGCAGGGTTATCTGTTAAATCACCCTTCTTTTCCCTACTCTTTTTGTTTTATTGCTCCTTAATTTTGTTTTTTTTAAATGATTTTATGTCTCTTTGTCGGATTTTGAAGCTTATTGTATGTAATAAGGTTGAATTTCCATTAACGGAACGTCTTTTATTGGTAAAAAAGTTGTTGAATGAATTGTAATAATATTCCGGAATTAGGTTGTTCGTTTGCATCTCCACTGAATCAATATTCATATATTTGTATGGATTTTATGTTAATTAAATTTTTTGTAAGTGGTTTGAGTCATTACCCATTTCAATGAAGCCTTTCTTTTTCTAGTTATTTATAGGGGTTCAATTCAGCAGATTGGATTTGTGGCGTAAAGATTATCAACAACTGTTATCAGTTTGGAGGGTTCTTTGATCATATGCAACTCTGTTTATTCTTTTATCGAGAATTATAGTGAGAAATTCAGCCAAGTATTCGATCATGTAAAATAGGAGAGGTTCATATTATTGTTGGTGTAATCATGGGTTGTGGTTTTTCAACCTCCAAGACTTTTAGAAAACAACCTTCTTTTGATCCTGTTGCGCTTGCTGCGGAGACCCCTTGTAAGTCTTGTATATTCTCCAATTTTCTGATCATCTTTTTGGATAAAGTGTGGGTGTTTTATAGCATCTGGTGCAGGTTCAAATGAGATTCGTGAATATTTAAGAACCTGGAACCGACTATTTAATGAATTGATTATTTATGACGTATATCCCTAAATTATCAATGAATATGAACATCATGCATTTCCATTATTCATGAATATCTATCACGATATTTATCATGAATAATTCGTGAATAGTTGGTTCTTAGGTTCTCTTAATATATACTTTTCTTATTTGAACCTGCCTTATAGTATCATCTTGTTATAGTTGTATTGATGTGAAATGATTTAACCTCTTAGGTGGTTTACAATTGTGGTTAAGAAGTATCATCCATTATTGATGGTTCCAGTGGCAGCTAATCTATGTATGGGGTGTGTTATAATTTACTGAGCAATTATCACTGTCGAAAAGAATAAGGGAAACCCCGTTTTGGGATCTTGGAGTTTTTAAATCTGTGAGGCACTGTGAATCTGTTCTAGTTTTGACACCCAGAATTTAAATCTGTGAGGCACTGTGCAGCAAATATGTTTGTAGTGCGTTTGGTACGCGGTACAGGACGAGATTGGACAAAACAATTCAAAAACTTGTTGTCCCACATTTGGTACGACATTAGATGGGACAGGACAGGACCTGAGTGGGACAAAATGCATTTTTTCTGTCCCATTAAAATAGGTGGAAGAAAAATCAAGGATATGGGACAAGATTGGTAAATTACTAAACTACCCATACCAAATTACAACCCTAAAACGTTCCACAATTCTTTCACCTGTCTATCTCACTCTAACCCGTCCATTCCCGTCCGGGTACCAAACACACCCTAAAGCCTGTGGCTCTTGTGGCATGGACCGGAGGAAGCACATAAAACTAGCTGGTGTTTACAAAATTCTTCTTGTGTTGTAGCTTAAGGAGTGAAATGTAATAACATAGAAAACTTTCAACTCTTGCAGTTACCGTGAATGAGGTGGAGGCTTTATATGAGCTATTTGAGAAACTAAGCAGTTCTATGGATGATGATGGGCTTATAGGGAAGGTATACCATCCTATTGTGAAATCTTCTTGCTAATGAATGAGTCTGGGATAGTCTCTGGGGTAGAGCTCAGGTCTGTCAACATCCCCACCCCATCACCCCACCTCCAGTGGGATATATACTGGGCTCGTTTGGTTTGGTTTTTTCTGGCCACTGAATTGGCTTTTTCTGTTGGTTTGATAAGTTTTTGCTTAAAGGTCCATTATCTATGCAAGTAATTTTCTTTAAATTTGGACAGGATGAGTTCCAACTAGCATTATTCAGAGATCAAGATAAACGGAACCTGTTTGCAGACCGGGTTGGTAGCATTCTGTCTTTGTATTTCTTGAAAGGAAGAATAACAGATAACCATATATTTGAGTTGCTCTCATTTGGGATATAAATCATATAATTCTCAACAGCATGCATATATCCATTAGTTGTTTATAAGCTTGCACTTAACGCAGTGCTCCCTTAATATATTTGTTTCCTACAGCAACTTTAACTTGTTATTTGCAGATATTCGATCTTTTTGACACGAACAGGAGTGGGCATATCGACTTCACCGAGTTTGTCCGTTCGTTGAGTGTATTTCATCCAAAAGCTCCTCAAGATGACAAAATTTTATGTAATAAATGACGATAAATTATTTCTAAGAGTTGTTTTATTCTTATCGTGTACAAGAAGTTTTGCTACATTCTCATAGCTAGAAGACACAACAGCTCTAGTGAGAATGATTAATCTGATACAAATATGGGATCAATGTTGTTGCAGATGCATTCAGATTATATGATTTGAGACGCACCGGCTTCATTGAACGTGAAGAGGTAACTAGGTCGTATTTGTTTATTTTTTTATAATATAATTTCCCCTTAAAAAAGATCATGCAAAATGGCTATGCAGTAAGACTCAATTCGTTTTCCCATATGAAGAGTCTTGTTTTCCATTTTTGCCTATCCCAATGAATGATTATGCTTTCTAAGTGTTTGGAACACATATGGCCCGTTTGGTTTGCAGGATTTCGTGGGATTTGGAATTATATTCCATTCCAATCACACGTTTTGTTTACTAGAAAGTCCGGAATTGAAATCCTACAAACATGGGATTTAGAAATCCCATGGGGGTAGTTGCGGGATTTCATAGGATTTGTTTGTAGTAATGTTTTAAAATATGTTAAAAACACTTTAATTTGTATCAATCAATTTATAAAAAGGTAATTTAATTATTTGATTTGTTTTTATAAATTATTTATAAAAAAAATCAAATCCTACAAACTAAACACCCCAAAAATTCCAAATCCTTCCAAATAATCCAAATCCCTCAAAAACATTCCATCAAATCAAATTGGAGGGATTTGGATTGGAAGGATTTTGAAACTTTGGTGGGTTTGGTTTGTAGGATTTGGAATGGAATTAAATTTCATTATTTATAAAAAAATTATAAAAACAAATTATAAATAATTATAAAAATAATTAAATTACCTTTTTATTAATTGATTATTACAAAACAAATGCTTTTAACATATTTTAAGACATTATTACATACAAATCCTAGAAAATCCCGTGAAATACCAACCACCCTCGTGGGATTTCAAAAACCTATTTTTTGTGGGATTTCAATGGAATCCCGGGATTTCAAATCCAGGAAACCCTCCAAACTGAACATAGAATTGGAATGGGATTCAATTCCGAATCCCTCCAATTCCGATCCAATCTGCCAAACCAAACGGGACCTAAAAGAGTAGCCCTCAGGATAGTACAGTTGGTTCCAGGTGGTATACTTGCACAAACTGGTGAGTGTTCGAGTCCGACAGCCACAGTGTGGGAGTCACAATTGATTTTGGGGATTGCGCTCATTGTGGACACTGGACTCTTAAGCCAGCCATCTAGAGGGCCGTTTTGTACCTGATTTGCCTCTCACATGATGCTTTAAAAAACCCTTTTGCACAAACACAAAAAGTAACAATACTGATGCTGGAACCTTTTTTAATTGGCAAGCAGTTAAAGGAGATGGTTATGGCTCTTCTTAATGAATCTGAACTCTATATATCAGATGATATGATTGAAACAATTGTAGATAAGGTATGAAATGCTTGTTTGTCATTGAATAATAGCAATCTCAAGACCTCCGTTTGTGATGATTGTACCTTTTGGTTTCTTATCCAGACGTTCACAGATGCAGATAGTAAAGGTGATGGTCGGATTGATCATGAAGAATGGAGAGAATATGTCGTCAAAAACCCATCCTTGTTGAAGAATATGACTCTTCCTCATTTACTGTAAGTTTCCCTATGTTGATTTCAAAGCATGCCAACAATTAACACTGTCTTCTCGAATTTTAGAATGAAAGAAAATAAAAGAAAGGGAAGGAAAAGAAAAGAAATTTTATTACTTGTGTTCTTGAGATCGAAGGATGAGAAAGGAAAGGGAAGGAAATAAAATAAATTTTCATGTTTTTCATTAGGAGAGAAAGGAAAGGAAATATGCCATTTTTACAAATATAACCTTATTTATTTTATAGTGGAATGTAATTGATGGGTATATGTATAATTTTGTAAATAGTTTTAATTTTTATAAATTATTTCCCTTTCATTTCGGAGGAGAGTTTTGGGAGGAAAATCAACATTATTTTCCTTCACTTTTCTTTCCTTTCCCTCCTTAAATGTTAAAAGAACTCGAGAACACAATTCTTATTTCTTTCCCTTCTACTTTCCTTCCCTTTCCCTCCCTTTCCTTCTTAAAATACCTCGAGAACACAACATTAAGATAGTGTTTAATGAATCATGCCTGTTATATTATTTCCTTTGTTTCACAAAATAGAGGTGCATGATCTAAATGGAGTCATACAGGCTAATTAAGATAAGAAACTAGGGTTTGATAAATAGTACCAAAAACTTCGACAAACTTTTTGAGTTGGATATCTGTGTCAAACTTTGTAAGAAATAATCAAACCAAACTGACCCAGTAAATCCCACTTGAAAGTAGGTTGGGAGGGGGTTGAGAAGAACGCAAACCTGACCTTTGCCCCTGATTTCATAAATACCATCGGCTAAACTTTATAACCAATATTGCATGTAAACAAATTGGTATTAAATTTTTAACCAAGTTCATATCTTTTAGTTTTATTTACTTGACCTTTTTTTCGCAAGTTGATGGTATTCTTGGAAACAACCTTTCTGTCTCTTGAGACAAAAGTAAGGTCTGTGTACATCTTACCTCTCCTAGACCCAGCCTCCGGGAGGGATACACTGGGTTTGTTTGGTTTATATCTTTTAAAAAATTCGAAAGTAATTGGTTTTGCTATCAAAAAGTGAATGTGTATCTCCTTGGGAAAAATCTTGTTCATGCATGGTTATAAAAAAATGATATATTTGAGCTTATATCTTTTGAGGCTTAGGTTTATTTGGGATGAAAATCTGGGGGGGAGTGGGTCCATTATATTATATAAAACCCTTCAGTTTCTTTTATTTTCAATCCTATTAGTTACTGTTTAATACCGCTGACCAAACACTCCCTGGGTTCTCACGGTTTTCAAAATATTTAGGAATCCTAAATGAACCCCCCCCCCCCCTTCCTCCTCCAAAATTGCTGCATTTTTGCCAATTTGTTGCATTTTCTTGTTTTCATGGTTCTTCATTCTTCAACAGGGCATTTGATAACGATTCTTGGTTTTCGTTGATGGTTTTCAGGGACATAACTTTGTCGTTTCCAAGCTTTGTTATGAACAGCCAGGTAGAGGAGACCCACCCAACAGACTAAGACCTTCCTTCTATGGATTCAAGATGTAACAATTGTATCTAAGCTTGAACTTGGTTCAGATTCATTCATTTGGGTTTCTGGGCTTTGTGTTTTTGTTTATATGGTGGTCAATTGTAGCAAAAAATGATGATTTTGGAAGTCTGTTTATAGAATCACAAGTACATGATGCATTTGGGTTGGCTTTGTTTGAGGTGCTTGTGTTAGATGTCGGTTTTGGATTGGCCGAAAAACTTGAATCTAGTAACTTGTTTGGGAATAGTAGCCCTGACACCCTTTGAATTACTTTCTAAAGAGTTCTTAACGATAAAGGAGATGTTTCAAATATGTAGAAATTCTGAAGTTTTATGTCTGTCTTATGTGAGACTCTAACATATCTCAGGTTAAATGAGTCCGCCAAGAAGAGGAGGCGAAAGGGTGTGTCAAGTCCAAAGACGGACCCAAGTAGTGCATGTGGTGGCACGGTGGTCACTGTTTTATTCATCTATCGTAGTGTAAAGACTTGTAGGATCGTGAAAATTGTGATTGTATCAATTTGTTGTCTCATCATATATATTTTGAAACTACAGTGAAAAACAAGTTTTCCTTGGTAGAGTTAGGTTGCAAGACTTTTTTTTCACCCTATACCCGATTTTGAATTTCGTTAGTGCCATGCTTTATAATTTTAGCTTTTAATTTCAGATGTATTATGTTTCTAAAGAAAAATGCAATAAGAAATTTGAACACAAGACATCACATATGAAAAATAATGAACTAATTACTATGATAATTTTGTGAAAATATCTCTATATTTGCTTTTTAGAGTCAAATGGTGTCACCATTCGAAAAAAATTCTAAAATGCCCTTAATTAATATGTTAAGTTAAAATTATCAAAATTATTAATTTTTTAATTTAACCTTTGATTTATCATTGAGATTAGATCTCACGGTTATCATAAATTACTTAATTCTTCCTTGAATGAACCTATATATATATATATATATACGCACACACACACACAAACACACATACATATATATAGACATGTTCAAACGAGAACATTAACTATTTAAAAAAAATAAAATGTACAAAAACATATATGATTTACGTACAAAATCATACATGATCTGGCACGACTTTGCCCGCAACTTAACTCACAGCAAAAGTCGTCAGTTTCCATTTTTTAAGTTAATATAAAATCACATGTAATTTTATACATTAATGATATTTTTATCGTTTTCGTAAATAGTTAGGGTTCTCATTTGAACTTCATTTATCTCTCTCTTTATATATATAAATTAATACATTAAGTAACAAATACATATATTATTTAATTATTATTACATTAAATATATTTTTAGTGTTTTTTTAATGTGATTTTTTTGTGTTAATGTTTAGAGGACCCGTTATTTTCATTGTTTTTAGTAAAAAAATTTAATGATTGGATTAGAGATGTGAAGAATTGTTGTGGGTCCTACATTGTAATAAAGTACAAAAAGAGGAGAAAAATGGGTAAATAATTATTTTTATTAAAAAAATTTAAATTTAAATTTAGTCAAAGAAGGTTCTGATATTATATGATTAGACCCCACGGACAAGAAGGTTCCGAAGAGCATAAAACAAAATCGTACAATGAGTTGGACTTGTTGGGCGTGGAATAATGACTATGCTTTTGCTTTTCAGTACTTTGCCATTTTACCACCCTCTACTTTCTATGAATATACTCTTCAGTCCGTTGACTTCTTAAAACATGTACTAGTACAATTTCAAGCCATCTTTTTGTTTAAAAAAATTAATCCAACGGAAACCCACAACAAAGAAGTTACTTTTTTCCATACTTAGAAGGCATGGACGATCGATATTTTGAAATACATATAGAAGAATCTTGTATTTGTTAAGATTACGTTATGCAACATTTTTTAAAGTATATAATATTTAGATACATTATGAAAATTGATTCAGTTATTTGGCTAACTAATCAGTAGAGTGTCATACAAATCATATTAGTGGTGCGAATATTAGGTCTTTTGTTCAACAGATGTAACTCCTACTGAATTATCAACATTTGTAGTTTCAAAAGCAAGACATGTCGAGAATTCTTAACTCTTCCAGAGTGGTATCTCACTGATAATAAGGTTTCGAGTCATACTCTGAGAGATTGTCGATCCTTGATACTTAATGACGACATATAGCTCAAAGTATAGGGACCAAAAGTGGAATATTTTAAAAACTTGTTCAGGAATCTTTTTGTCTTGAACAAAAAGTTAGAACGGCAAATACGCGTATCAACTTCCTCTCGGTCTCTTTCTCTCTCTTCAATTCATTTCGTTCAAGCAGCAGCAGCCATCGTTGGAAGCACAAAATTCGATCGATAAACGCTCATCGTTGAATTTTGGATCCGTAAAAAGTTGAAGGATTACGGTCAAAATTCAATTTTCCCCAAATCGATCGGCTATATGGCCTCCTCAGCGAACTACGTTCTTCTTTGATTCTTGCTTAATTGAGCTGGTAAGAATCCCCTCTTCTTCCATGTACATTTCAATAGAAACTCTGTAGTTGTTATGTTTCTTCATCGTCCTTGATCATTAAGTAATTCCCAGGATTTCGATTTGTAAATCGATTTCCTGATTAGAACTCCTAAAGAAGATACATTTCTAGGGTTTTCTTACAGCTTGATCATGTACGTGATCTGGGTGCTCATTCAGAAGATTTGAGATTATTTCCGTATTGAGGGTTTGATTTGTTCGAACCTTTTCTAAAGCTTATACAAAGTTCGGTAATTTAGAGATAAAATGTCGTCAGCTGGTGTTATTGCCATCCGCCCACTTTGTGACGACTCCATTTTGCCTTCGTTTCCTGTACATAACGAAGAATCGATTCTGATTCACTTAGCTATGTCGGGTTCTGTGGTTCCAATGAGGGTCTTGGAGTCAGATTCAATTGAATCCGTGAAGCTTCGGATTCAAGGCTATAAGGGGTGTGTTGTGAAGAACCAGAAGTTGGTTTGTGGAGGCAGAGTATTATCCCGAAGTAAGTCTTTGGTTAGGGACTATGGTGTTGGTCATGGGAATGTGGTTCATTTGGTTGTCCAGCTTTCCGATCTCAAAGTGATCCATGTGAGGACTTCATGTGGTCAAGATTTCACTTTCCATGTCGAGAAGAATCGTGATATTGGTTATGTGAAAAAGCAGCTTGCAAAGGAAAAAATTGACATCGATGAACAAGAAATCTTGTGGGAGGGTAAGCAGCTCGAGGATGAGAGACTTATAAATGATATCTGTAAATATAACAACGATGCCGTGATTCGTTTGTTTGTTAGGAAGTCTGCAAAGATTCGAGCTACACCTGTACAGAAGAATTTTGATCTCACCATTGTCGCACCACAGTCGAATGATTCAAGAGAATATGATCTTGCTGTCAAACAACTTCAACATGGAGCTAATGGTATAGAATATTATGGGTCAGTTGCTAAAGAAGCTGCAAGTAGAAATCTTTGGTTGGAACCAGTAATTGTTAACCCAAAGGCTGCATACCCTTGTGGCCTATTAGACCTGGTTACCTCTACCAATGAAGGTTTGAGGAAAGGGAATTATCCAATAAGGTCTTCTGAGGGTACAGGGGGAGCATATTTTATGATGGATGCATCAGGGACTAAATATCTATCTGTTTTTAAGCCGATTGATGAAGAGCCTATGGCTGTAAATAACCCCAGGGGTTTACCATTGTCAGTGGATGGTGAAGGGCTAAAGAAGGGGACAACTGTTGGTGAGGGTGCATTGAGGGAGGTTGCTGCCTATATTTTAGATCACCCAAAAGGCGGACATAGGTCTTTCTCTGGTGAACACAAGGGATTTGCTGGGGTCCCACCTACTCTGTTAGCTATGTGCTTGCACGAAGGGTTTAACCATCCAGATGGTGTAAAGGAGAAGATTGGGTCGCTGCAGATGTTCATGGAAAATTGTGGAAGTTGTGAGGATATGGGTCCTAGTGCTTTTCCTGTAGAAGAGGTACATAAGATCTCTGTGTTGGATATTAGGATGGCAAACGCAGATAGGCATGCTGGAAATATTTTGGTGAACAAAGAGGAAGATGGTCGATATGTGTTGATTCCTATTGATCATGGATACTGCCTGCCTGCCAGTGTAAGTGCTTGCTTTCTGCTTCATAACTTAATTCTCAGGATCTTAGATTAAATCGTCCTTCAAACTGTTTTCTTACGTTTTTTGGCAGCACCATTGAACTCCATTTTTGAAAGCATTATAGTTCTAAGTATTTGCTTTTGAACTCCATTTTTAAAGACAGATAGTTTGATTACCCTGAAATGTGGTTGAGAATGGTTCTTGATTTCTTGCCCTGTATTAAGAAACTACAAGTTAACATAACACTATGGGGACCATTTGGGATCATGGTTTCAGGCTCCCTAGGGTGCTGTATTTTTGGAAAATACCTCTTACTGATTTATCAGTTTATAAAAACAAAATCTTTTTTATTCTGCTTTCAGTCTTGAGCACCACCTCTTGTCAATAAGAAGTGAAATAAGATTTCCGAGTTCAGAACCTCTTAAAATAAACAGCCGTGAATTCCTCGGTTCTACTTTACTCATCTAGACGAGAAATTCATATTAAAGTTACTTATTTGCACAAGGACTCAGTATTTTTTTTGGTTTCTGCAGTTTGAAGACTGCACATTTGATTGGCTCTACTGGCCTCAAGCTCGCCAACCATTCAGTCCCGAAACTGTCAACTACATCAAATCACTGGATGCTGAGGAAGACATTGCTCTACTTAACTTTTACGGCTGGAATTTACCCTCAGGATGTGCACGCACTTTTCGAATATCCACCATGCTACTCAAGAAAGGTGTGGAGAAAGGATTCACCCCTTTTTCCATTGGAAACATCATGTGTAGGGAAAACTTGAACAAGAAATCCGTGATTGAAGAAATTGTCCAAGAAGCCGACGATCTTGTTCTTCCTGGTTCAAGTGAGGCTGCATTCATTGAGACTGTTTCTCAGATCATGGATCGCCGTCTGGGTTTATTTGCCTAACAAAGGTCCATAGATGATAAAAATTAGTATATAACTTCATTTCTTTTGTGTATAAGACCTTATGTGCATATGTTTTTGGTACATATGTATATATGAGGGTGGATATGTCCCAAAATCCTTCCAAGCAGTTAAAGAATGAGGTTTTTAAGTTTAAATATGTTTAAACATTTGATTTGTCCCTTTATTTGTTTTGTATTTTGATTTGTTGCTTTTGGATTAAGTCTGAATTTGAGTGGGGTTGAAGACATTGTTGAATTCTCGAAAATAATATGTATGTACCAAATGCTCCTAAGAAGAACAAAGAACATAACTTATAGGAGATGTTTTAGACTAGAATCTTGTGGTTGTGTGTGTGTGTATATATGTATATATTTTTCCCCTTACATTTGTTTTATATGAATACGTACAGTTGGAAAATTTTATATTGTGGCTATTAGACCAGTTATTTTGTTGTATAGGTTAAGAGTGAAATAAGGCTTACGAGAGGAAGTTGAAGTTGCATAAATGAGAATGCTCAGATGGATATGTGGAACTAGGTTTCATAGGGTACTGAACGAGGTCTTTCGGACAATGTTGGGAGTTGTGTGCATCACAGGTAAGTTGAGAGATGCAAGAGAGAGCGGCTCTAATGAGGAGGATGGAAAGTATGATGGTCGAGGGGGCTAGGAGGAGGGGTAGGTCAAGGAGGACATGGGATGAACAACTGAGGTTAGTCATGGTGGCTCTAGACATTTACAAGAACATGATCTTGATAGGAATTACCGGAGACACAAGATTAGGGTAGTAGACGGGTCAGGGATCTGTAGCTAGCATGGCCGGGAGCTCGCAAGGCAGATGATAGAGGGTAGGGTAGCAAGCTGGCAGTTAGGTTATAAGAGTCCTTCGTTAGACTAAGGGTGTGTAGTTTTTCTTGCATTCGCTATGTTTTCTTGCACCTTCTGCATATATGTTGTTGACTACTAACTTATTCGATAGTTTCTTTTTTCAGGTCACTTTGCTACCTTCACGTTTTGGATATTTCTTCGGGGAAACTATTTTTATTCCGAAAATGTAACCAACGTTTATTAGAAAAAGCAACCCCGAAGATTTGGGACCAAAGTCATTGATTTATAATGTTATAGGAATTTACAACTATGCTACGAAAAGTGCACTCTTCCACAAGCTGTAATTTTTCATATTAATCCGCTTTATTCTTTTGAGAGTAGATGCCAGATTTGTGTACGTTACACCCACACCCATACACTTGGCTCGTTTTGGTTGTCAGTTCAAATCTGTTTGTTTTTCATTAATTAAAAAACAAACAACGACAACCATTATGATTGTTTTTCAACGTCCATGTTGTGCTAAGGACGCCTCAGAGAATCTTCGATATTTTTTCTGTAATTTCTTTAAAATATAGAAGTACAAAGTCAACTCAAACAATTATCTTATTTAAGATATCCCAGCATTTAATTATCTTAATAAAATATTCAATGCATATAACACTTCAAAAGAATTGCTAGCAGTTATATCTTGTGTAGGGGAAAAATGGTAAATTGCTATAACTTCATATGGGAGGGAGTTCAAATCCATATGCTTTGCAAACAGATTTCTTACACTAATAGTAGTAGTATCATTGCCCTATACAACTCCCACACAAATATGAAAATTAGGCCTCCATTCACCATTTTTTTTTCTTTCGTTGCGCATTTGTGGGTCCCATTTTAAACGACGTTTATCGTATAAATGTCGTTAGGACCCACAAAAAAAGGAAACGAGTTAACTAACAAAGGTTCGGAATGCATACATTACTACCATCAGAGTTGGGCGGTTCTTTCCAAATCCGACCAGTAACTCTCAACTTCAATTCTTTCCTATCTCCTCCTGAGAAAAACAGAGCCATATTCCGCTGAATTATCAGACCATCATGGCTGTCCCTAACCTTTCTGTGACCATCTCTAATGCTCCGAGGGGTACCCTCCCAGATGAGTTTTCTGCCATTCCCGCCAACCTCCAAGCTGTAACGGTAGTTACGGGCATCGTTTTCGTCACCCATGAACCGGAGAAACGCCATGTAGACGGGCGCCATGCTGAGCTGGAACGCTTCAAAGTGGAGACAAAAATACTGCCCAAAGCAGTTGAAGACCTGTATGTATATACAAAACATGATGAAACAAATAGCATCAATAACCAAACCAAACAAGCCCATTATATCCCATTCTCCAAAACGAAGAATCAAAAGTCAAAATCTTCAAAGAAAATGTAATCATTTCCAACAGCTTCTCTATTTTGGAGATTACAATATAGAATTGTAATCTCCCTCCGTCCCCAACTAAATGTTCACAATTCTATTTTAGTAAAATAAGTGTCCACTATTAAATTATAAGTGCATACTTTCCCATTTAGTTCATCAAAAGTGAAATAATACATTTTCTAAAACTTGTGACTTTTTTATATGTGGACACTTGTTTTGGGACAGAGGAAGTATTATTATAATATTCAATACTTTTCATAAAATATTATTTCTCTCCCCTATAAATTTAATTTCAAGGATTCTCATTGGTAGAAAGAATAAAAAAATTCTTTCATATGCAATCATTTTTGGAGAGTTCTCCAAATTTGGAGAATTTCACCCTCTCTTTCCTACTTTCTCCATTTTGGAGAAGGTTTTGGGGAATCTGTTGGAGCAAAATCTCCATTTTAGAGAATCTGTTGACGCTCTAATGCCCCATAGCTTGAAGCAACAGACTGACCATATAACCTCCGGATCAACTCAAAACCATGGTGGTAGTCATTGGTAGCCTACAATTTTGAGCTTATAGGGATCTCACAGATCTATTTTTCTATTCATGTGGGACAAGTTGTTACAGGTGGGTCTGGCGGTTAAGATGTATGAAGGCCCGACCTCTACTCCAAAAGATAGAGCAATTGTTTCCATGAAAACTGAATCAGTAACTCAGAAGGATCAAAAATAACTCAAGAAACGAGATATAGTTTGCCTTTTTAAGTCAAAGGAACCAACTTTCAAGATGTATGCAGGCCTGTCCTCTAATCTACAAAGTAGACGTGTTTGTTTCTGTGAAAACTGAATGAGTAACTCAGAAAGATTAAAGATTGACTCAAGAAACAGGATAAGTTTGACCTTTTAAGTCAAAGGAACCAACTTTCAAGATGTATGCAGGCGCCTGACCTCTACTCTTAAAAGTAGAGCAGTTGTTTTCATGAAAATTGAATGAATAACTCGGAAAGATTAAAGATTAACTCAAGAAACGAGATAAAGTTTGACTTTTAAGTCAAATGAACCAACTTTCAAGTACAAAGTTAATATGGGTAAAGCAGGTAACAGCATTAAACTTCACAAAGAAAATGTAAAGATGGTGTAAATTTATAACTACATCAAAAAAATGTGAACTTTGGCTTTTAAAGTCAATGGAACAACTTTCCAAGGTCAAAGTCAACATGGGAAAGTAGGCAATCAMATTAAACCATTTAGAAAAATGTAAATTTGTAACAGTAGTGGGAGGTTCAAATAAGAATGCTAAATAGAAGGTAAGAAGGACAGGTTGGGGAAGGTTCATATGTGAATCCTTGAAAAAATCTCTTTGAAGATGCATATGTGAAACCATATGAATAATCTATAATGTCGGTTCACATATGCATCTTTAAAGAGATTTTTTCAATGATTCACATATGAACTTTACCTTAGCTTTTCCTTCTTACTTTCTCATGATATTTAGCCTTCTTATTTGAACATGCCATGTAAAATTAAGATAAATGTGAATTTTGACTTTTAAAGTCAATGGAACAACTTTCCAAGGTCAAAGTCAACACGGCAAAGTAGGCAATAACATTTCTAAATGTAAATTTGTAACAGCAATTCAAGAAATGAGGTAAGGTTTGACTTTTGAAGTCAATGGGGCCAACTTTCAAGTTCAAGATCAACGAAAGTAAGCACGCAAAATTGAATCAATGAGTTTGCACACTTGTTGTTAAAGGGCATAGCCTACACCTGAAAGGGCATATGTTTTCACCCTTAATAATCAAAGAACTAGTTGATCGTTTATTACTTGACCATTTGACCAACCTAGTATAAAGCCTATGCCCCAAGGGTATCGACATATGCTTTTATACATCCAAAACAAGGTTTATTTTGGATAACCGTGGGTGTCTAGTCCCCGCTTGTGCGCACCTCGACTAATCCTATGAGGCCCTGAAGATTACATCCACGAAAATCCCAAGTGGCCCTGAAGAGATTCGAACTGGCGACCATGAAAGTCAAAAGATCGCACGTCTTATGAGCACTTGGCTCCTTTAGGGTGCCTTTAGTACGTAGGACAAGACAGTACAAAAACTTGTATCTCACGTTTGGGAGGACATTAGACCGGTTCAGGACAAGACCTCGGTGGAATCAAAAATGCATTTTTTCTGTCTCACCAAAATAGGTGGAACAAAAATCAAGCAGAAAGGAGAAGATTGGTAAATTACTGAATTACCCATATTAAAATTAAACCCTAAAACCTTTTAGAATTCTTTCACGTGCCAACTTACTCGGTCCCGTCCACGTACCAAACCCATCCTTAAAGTAATAATGCAAAAGAAAGATGGGATCTAAAAGATACTAACCGTTAGCATCCATGTGGCATTTTCAACTTCACGTGGATTGGACTTGACATAACGATGATTGAAAGTACATCCGGAGTGCATATCTACTTTATGATCATCCCTCAAATGTGAAACTAAATACGGGATATCCCCAACAACTGAGCACTCTGATCCCGCATACGGACAGCTGTACGGCCTAAAATTGCAAACGGCTTCATGTTTCAGCTTGCTATAGTATGGGAAGATCCCGGGGCATCCAAGGGAGCAGTATTTGCAGGGCAACTCGAGCGATTCAGCCACTTTTTCCAATGCAAGACACCTTATATCGCCAAGCTCTTGCCTACAAGTTGGACATCTGTTGTGAACTCGTGCCTTACAAGTGGAACAAAGCGTGTGGCCATTGTGACACTACAGAAAATCGCAAACTCAATTAGATTTATCAAAGAAGTACCCAGTTCTAGGTTATATGCTACCATGATCACACAAATATATATGATTTTGAGACTAAAAAGTCGAGTCAAATGTCAACTCAATTTTCTCGATTAAACCAAACTTGACCTCTATCCCAAAGAGTGGAGCGGTTGTTTCTGTGGACTTACTTTTTTGGGATGGCAATAGTTCTTGTTTTCATTTTATCCTAGAACATAGAACCGAAAAAAGAAGAGAAAAGGCCTCAAATAATTTCCAAGGGCCAAAAAAACCATGTAGTTTAATGAGCTAACATATGTAGGTACATAAGCAATGGATATTTATTCAGAGTTGAGTTCTAGTTAGAAGGAGAGTTAAGGTGAGAAATGTAAGAAGGGATCTCCACCCTTGGATGCACGTTAGGATGAGATGCACCGAAACAATCCCCGTATCGAGCGCAGTTCATGAGTGGGTTTGAAATTAAAGGTGATCAGGGGTCCAGATCCCTTCTTACGCTTCTCCCCTTAACTCTCCTTCTCACACGATTGTTCGCCAATTTATTCATGGCTAGAAATATATATATATATATATATAGAGAGAGAGAGAGAGAGAGACGAAGGATCGTGTGAGAATAGGAGTTAGGGTGAGAATTGTAAGAAGGGATATGGACCCTGATCACTTTTAATCTCACCCCCATCCCATGTATTGTGCTTGATGCGGGACTTGATCCGGTGCATCTCGCTGCATCTCATTAATGTTGATCTTCAATTAGGATTAATCCAAGGGTAGAGATCCCTTCTTACCGATTCTTACCATAACTTCCTTTCTCATCGGAACCCAACCCTATATATGTATGTATGCATATATATAGGGTCTTTCAAATGAGAAGGTGGTCAATTTGCGAAAAGTTCCAACATTTACACATGATTACATGTGATACGAACACTTAATCATAAGTGATTAAACATATGTTGCGTTGACCAGCATATTAGCGGGCGACCTTTGGTCATATTCACCAAGTCCCCCGCGTTCCTTATGACGTGTTTAATCATATATGAATTAGTGTCCGTAGCACATGTAATCATATATGATATTGGAACTTCTCACCTTCTCGTAAATTGATCAACTTCTCGCATGATACTCTCCCACCCAACCTTCACTCTCTCTCTCTCTCCCTCTCTCTCTCTCTCTCTCTCTCTCTCTCTCTCTCTCTATATATATATATATATATACTCCCTTCACTCAATGTGTCAGAATAGGTGCACAGGGTAATAAAAGTGTTTGACGAGTTATCATAATATCTTAAATGATCATTCAATAATAACAAAATAGAAGAATCTTATGAACCAAAGTCGAGGCTTGTAAAACAAAAAATGTAAAGAAACAAATAAGCAGGTTACGGTGTGTGCAAGGAAGCAATAAGAGCATCTCTAACAGCTACGCTATAATTATTCTAAAATGTAGCGTCTAAAATTGAAACCTCAAAAAAAATTACATTCAACTCCAACAACTACTCTATTTTAGTAATCCCAACATTAATTATTATTAAAATATTATATAAATTCATCGTCCCAATACACTTCTAAAAGAAACTTGATAAAAATATAATGCATTCAACCTCACGGGTGGAAACAATTAAAATAATACATCTTTCCTCAATATTAAGTTTTAGAGATTTCTACCTTCTCTCTTTTTTTCTCTATTTTAGCATATACTTTAACATAGTTGTTAGAGCAAAAAAACAAGCTCCTAAATCACCAAAATATCTACTTTAGCATAGCTGTTGGAGATGCTCTAAGTACATTTAACTAAAACATTAGAGACTCATGTGCCGAAAATAGGTTAAACAAACAACAAGACACAGAGCACATTACTGACAAGCAAGAAGAAAAACTAAGACCAGTGCAGAACAAAACAAATTCAGCATATGTTCAACCCTCAAGTCCACAGTTTTCTATCAGATACAATTCTTTCTTTCAAGAAATAGAGATGTAATTAGATTTGGAAGCAAACCAGCTATTTCAACTTCAAAATTGTGACAATATTTTTCATAAAAATTCATGATAATTCACATTATCCAAATAAAGCAATATGTATTCAAACTGATGATAAAATTTTCATATAAACTTTGATTTAACAAAGTATGTTTAACCCCAAAAGTCAAAAAGATGATCATAACCCTAAAACCCCCAAATCAAACCTAGTTTCAATCCAAACAACAAATCATTCCAATTCCAATTTCAAGTATCGAAATTCAATCAACATAGATCAAATCCCTAAATCCAATCAGTTCAATAACATCAATCAAGAAGAAACAAAAATCAAGAGCCAAATCCATCGTTTCATATAATTAATTAGAGAGAGAGAAGAATATAAAAACCTGATGAATTGGAGGGTACATTGAATTGGTACAAACAGGGCATTCAAGAAGCTCATGAACACTGGTTGTGGGATGAATCGTCGAAGGAACAACATTAACATTATGAGTTTTGGAAGATGAAAATTGAGGATTAGGATTAGGATTAGGATTAGGATTGGGATTAGGATTGTTTTGATGAGGATGAGGATGAGGATGAGGATGAGGAGGACGATGATGATGGTGATTATGGTGTGGGATTGCATCATCAATTAATCCATCCGAAACCGAAACACATTCGATGTTATCGATTTCCATAATGGCAAAAAACAAGATCGAAATGGAATTGTTGGTGAAATTGGCCCAGAAAATGAAAAAGCTTTTCCCTCCCCAATTAGGTTAAAGACGATGAATCAATAACCAGGGGAGGGCGAAGGAGAAGGTGCTTTTTTATTTTTCTTGATAGGTTTTCTGGTATTTTGTTTTTATTTTGTTTTTGGGGGAGAATTGCAGAGTGTGAAAGCGGTGGACAGGGTTCAATATGGTTTTTTTTTCTTTATTTTTTTTTTTCTTAAATTGAAATGAAAACGGTGGATAATAAGTCAAGAACGCATCTATGATTCAAATATAGAGCTTAATAAGTTATATTTGTACATAATTTATTTATAATCTTGAATTTTAAGAAATATATATTAATAAACATTACTTCATATATAAAAGATGGTTTTTAAATTTTTATTAAATGTTTTATAATATAGTATATATATATATATATATATATATATATATATATTTGTTCCTATTTCAAGAATGGTTACAAAAAAGTTACGACGAAGTTGGTTTATGAAAAGGCTTATCAAATATTTACAAAAAAAAGTTATGATGAAGTTGGTTTACAGAAATATTGATGACAAAAAGGTTACACAAAAGAATGATAAACTCAGAATTCACATTATTAAATGTTACAAGATCAACATGTTACCAATTAAAATAATTATTTAATTATAAAATTCAAGATGTAGGGGAAAAAAAAGGTTATATCAAACAAAATGTACATCTAACCCAACTCCAAAGACTACATTTATGTTCCATGTGAGAGAGATAGAGGGGGGAGGGGTCTATTGTTGGGTCATAATTCTATGTACTTTTGCATTATTATTTAAAGCCATGAATATTTATAAACTCAATAATTCATTCAAATTTAAAACCCGGTTTTTAACACTTGTGAAAATACAGTGTATTTATGCAATGTTGTTTCATATGTGAAACATTCACAACATTTTTGTGTGTGGAAAAAAAAACAATTATGTACGTTTCACACATGAAATAACATTGTATAAGCATTCCTCCTTTTTGGTTTGTAAGAATCATTGGTTTTGTAAATGATTATGCGTCAAGTATGAACCAATAATAGACCCCTTTTAAACGCGTCACGTATGGAACAACACCATAAAAACAATGTATTTACACACATTTTTGTTTCAGATACGAAACAACACATAAAAACTTTGTAAAAGGAGGTACTCTAATTAATTACTACAGATTTAATATCATTTGAGCTTATGATCATTATCAAAATTCCTGAAGGTTAAGGAAGGCATAATAGAAGGATTACCTGTGTTTAAACCACTTTCTCATCAAGGATCAAACTTGGGTTATGGGACGTTTGGTGAACATGACAAGGACCGAAAATCTTACCCAGTAAGAGACATAACAAGAACCGAGGTATGAATCATACCTGATAAGTGAGGGAGAATGATTACTGGGTAAAAGACGCTTACCAACAATCCATTTTGATGACTGATAATGTTACCTGATAAGGGTTGTATCTCTTACCGGTAGCCACTTATTTATTTCTAGAATTTGTGTTAATATACCTGAAATATCCAAAGAAGTGGCAGTAGAGCCTATCTTTTTTCCTGCTACAGAACAAAATTATTACTTTTAGGCACCAAATTATAATAAACATCGTGTTGATGATATTTGGTTAAACTAATATAATCAATGAAATTTTGTTTTATATAATATTAATAATAAAAATATATTTCGTCCAACTTACAAATATAAAATATGTTTTATTCAACGTGAAAATAGAAAATATGAACCAGTAGGGTTGTCGTAGAATAGTAAAGTCTCGGGGGATGTAGTGGAAAATCTCAATTACATCGGGGCTCGAATCCAGGCTCTACCAAAGTCCTTAAGACCATGGCGGTTCACCTGTGATAACTCCAGAAGATTTGTGGTCGTCCGAGAGATTAGTCGATGCGTTTAAACTGGCTCATAGACCACATTTCAAACTACAACCAGACCGAGTTTTTTTAAGACAATTCATATGTTAGTTTATAAATAAACATCCAACGCTCAAAATGTTTATAGTTGATTTTAGAAAGAAACGTGTATAGTATAATGATCTCTAACTTAGGAAGCATTTGGTTTAACGAAATGTTTTTCAAGTACTTGAATTTTATAGAAGGATTTAAAATTAAAAAAGATTTTAAAATATTTAATTTGTAGGATTTAGAATAAAATAAAATTTGATTCTTTATAAATAAATTAAAAAAAATTATAATTGATTATAAAAATAATTCAATTGTTTTTACCTAATTGATTATTATAAATAATTTAAAAATGTTCGGATTATGTTCACAGTTTAGTTTACACCTTTTACCTCTTATAATTCTCATTTTGTTGGTCTAATTTTTCCACTACTTCTAAATGTTCACACAAAATCAAAATAAACAATACAATCTCAGTTTATCCCATTTAAAATAGAATAAATTGCATGAAAAGTAACGTATTTTAACTTAATTTTTATTTTGAGTAATGTACTTTCAAAACTTACATTTTGATACTTAAAATGTAAAGTTTTAAACATTTTTTTAAGTACTCGAGTAACCGGTTGAAAAACTAATTTTAGATTAAAAAAATTCATGTCACTAACCACATCAGCAAATAATACTAAGTTGGATACCACATCACTCGTCAAGTCAGCATGATAATCAGTTAATGCTTCAACCAGTTACCCGGATATTTAAATGTTTAAAACTTTACATCTTAGGTATCAAAATGAAAGTTTTGAAAGTACGTTACCCAAAATAAGAATCAAGTCAAAGTGCGTTACCTTTTCATACAATTTACCCTTTAAAATAACACCTTTGAGATGTATGCAAAGATGTCTACTATCTCATCAAAATGATGTTAAAATGATGATGTTAAATGGTTACTGATGAATAACATATCATTCTACAACCTTGCCAACCATGTTGGCCTCCGACTCCGAGGACACACATACCCTGTTCACCCTTCTCTCGGTTGTTCCGATCCCCGTGACCGAGGCCATCTATACGATCTCGTCAAAGGACAATTCCGACGTATGTGCCCTTCTTTACCACATCCAAAGCACCACACCCTCGTGTCGTTCTTCTTTTGACCAAATATATCTACATTCTTTCCGCCATTTCTATAATCTTCTTCATCCTTTAACCGATATATCAACTTATCAAGCGGTAGATACTCTTCTTGCATCAGTTTCGCTCGAATGTGCTTCCAAGAAGGAGGAAGTTTGGAAATAATGGCGCTAACATGGAAGTTTTCATCGATGTTAATCCCAGAAGCAGTGATCAAACCAGCAATCCTGTGAAGTTCCTGAACTTGTTCAATAACAGAAACCCCATCGATCATTTGAAACTGAATGTAAGTGTTGATGTGAGATCTTTTTGTTCCATAATCATCAGCGTACAATGACTTTAGCTCGTTCCATAATTCTCCGGCATTGAGAGTCTTTACGGAATATTGATCAAAGAGTTGGTCAGACAGGGAGTTCAAGATAGTTTGTCGACAGATGTAATCATCATTGATCCATTTTTGTGCACGAGATTTGGATTCAGAGATCTGTTCGGAAGTTGATTCTGGTGAAACGGGAATTTTTGGGCATGATTCGATGAGGACGTAAGAGATTTTCAACTGGTTTAGGAAGAATTCCATTTGGCGCTTCCAGCAGTAGTAGTTTCTCCCAGTGAAACGAGTGGTTGCAATAGGGATGAGTGGATGGATTTGGAGTTCTTCAACAACATGAGGTTCAGAAGCCAAGCTGGTTGATGGATTTGAAGCTTCGGCTTCACTTTGCAGTTTATCAAGCTCACAAGGTTCGGAAGCCAAGTTGGTCGATGGAGTGGAAGCTTCGGCTTCACTTTGCTTCTTCCCCATGCCTTGGCCTCTGAAAAACAACTAGTTACTGGCTCATTTCCACCCAGACTTTGACATTATGCTTAAATTTCAAAAACTAGATGCATATAATCATGAAGTTGGAAATACCAGAATTCCCTAGATGTGAGTTTGGTATGCTGACAATGCATCTTTGTCCTACTCAATTGATATCTTGTCATCGTTTAATGTTGTACCAAATGTGGACAAGAAGTTTTTATAATGTCTTGTCTTGTCCCGCATACCAAACGCACCCTATACCATCAAAAAAGCTTCCTCGATAAACCAAAATTCTCAACCGAGCATAAATAACAAGTATGAGATGTTTCTAAATTCTAATTCTCGGAATTACTGAATTTAGGTGTTCAAATAGCCAACAGCAGATCACACTATCAGGATTTCCTTACGACTGAAATTGATTACGAGACAGAGTTCAATTTCTTTTGGAAAAAGATAATATGAATTATATCATAATAGTCCATGATCTTATCATTAGTATTTAAATACATCATGCTAAATCTAAAGAATTGTTGACTACCAATTTTGCAGGTGAGAAATGCATTACAAATCAAAGTGAAATCACAACTGATTACATATTAGTTGCCAAAATCTAAAATCTATGGTTGTGGCCAAGTAACAAGTTTAAATCTAAATCTGTAATGAATTACAAAATTTCGTTATATTATCTTTCATGAAGTTTATCCAATCGGTGTCACATAAATCAAATGGTACACGATGAGTTAATTTTAGAAGAGGTCAAATGTTTAACTATTAATTTGGTTATATTAGAGATAGTTTTAACCACCTACAAAGAGAATGGATTCAAAAATCTAAGAAGGGTCTAAAATGTTTACTGGCCATCAGATTCGTTTTCTATTTTCTACAAGAATGTAATGAGAGGTATGGCTTTATTACAAATATTAATCGCCAGCATTAAACAAGTAAAATCTCGCAACAAACTAGAAAGCTCGATTAACAATAAGCTCTACTATATAGTTTATCCAGAAAAGTAAGTTTTACCTTATCCCTGCTTCCATCTTTGTGATGGCTGCTTCTATGTCAGAAAAACTTGAACGAAATGCAGACCATTGTTTAGGGTTCAAGGTAATTCCTGAAAAAGAACACAGAAAACCAGATCAATATGTATCATCATCAATAAAAATGTCTGCTTGTTTATAAATTAGGAAAAGTAAAGAAGTATCTGCTAATCCATTCAACAAAAAAGTAACAAAGGGTACCACGGATTGCAATTTACACACAAGAACATCAATTTAAAAGTACGAAACTGCCCATTATTTTTAATCTTATTTCCTGTATTTTGTTATAACATAGATGGTTGAATAACCTTTACCAGACACAAGAAGTCTAAAAGCAATATCTAATTCTAAACTGAAGTTGCATAACCCGGAAGGCACAAATGCAGTATTCATTTTAGAGGACAAAAGTGGAAGAACAAAAGTCTTGCAAAGTCCATAACTCTCGACACTTTTACCATGTAGACCAGATCTAGAGTCTAAACTTTCAAATGCTAAATGGCATCATTAAACATCTAGAGTATGGTAAGACATCATTATTTATTAAAACCCATTAACTATGCAGTAATAGATATACATATATCTTCCAAAATGGACCACCATTGAAAGTTTCAGAGTTTTCAAGGGAACTAACTGCCTTGACATGAGTGAATGCAGCATACTTCCTTCCCATTTTACCCTTAGTCCCTTACGATTGATGCACATTAAAAGCTCCAACAATCTTTTAAACAAAGAAAACTTTTTATCAGAATTTCTTTGTGATGTTACACGAGCTTAAAAGAAAGCACACACTTATCATCTGATCCAACTTTTCACCAATACCGCAGAATGTGAAATAATATATTGAAGGAAGTGAGCAGAAATAAGTATAAGGGCAATATAAGTAATGGCAGTAGCCAAAAATCATAAGAAATGATAAATGAGGTAAATCTATCCTATACAGGTTCATGAATTTGAATACTGTTCCTCCGTGCTTTTCCGTATACAGCCAAGTCAAGCCTCTTTTATTGATTTCCATGGATATTAATGTCATCCTACCCTATTTTCTCAGTGTTATTTACAGCCTACATATATGTCCTACTTCTCTTGGTCCAACTCTCCCCATCCCATGGCATATCCAGAGGCCTATTTGGAGATGACCAAAGTCCCTAACAATGTCAAAGTGGTGTTCCCCCACCTCTTTAATCTATCATTGTGACCCCCAATTCCTCTAGTTACTTTCTCTCCAATTTCCTGACATCAACATTTCCTTTATAGTAAGTTCATGTATATATCTTGTTTTCTTAGTATCCTGACTCAAAGCATAGCTAGTCTCAATGGCATGCTGTAAAATGTAGCCTTCAAGTTGAGTAGGATATGTGGTCACACAAAGCTCTTGATTGCCATCACCACATGGTCTACATGACTTAACCCATTGTCCTATGACAAGCATCCTCTTCAATCTCCCCTTCCTTTTGCAATATCGAACTCAAATCACGAAATATATCTTCTTAGACATCTCATTTCAAGACATATTACCATACAACTATTCTTGGTCATATCAACAAGGTTGCAACTAACCAAAAGGGTTGTGGCATAGTGGTTGAGGTCCTAGGGGATGTGGTGGTATATCCCATCTCCAAGGGTTCGATTCCAGGCATACATAACAATTGTGGCCACTGAGTTTATCAGGGCTGATTTCTTCCGTCACAATTTGCCGGGATTAGTCCAGCCTGGGACATTCTTCCAAAAAAACAAAGGTTGCAACCCACATACTCCTTTTCTGAGTCAATCTACGAAGCCTCGGATCGGTAAATATTTTTTAACAATCTTAGCTTCGATATTTCTACATTAAGTATACCCCAAGTTACCATGTTATTCCTTACATAAGCATGCCCTTTGGGTGCTAATCCTTGCATGCACACATAATGACATAGAAGTTGATAATAAGATGAGCTTTCTCCAAATTTAGTTTAAACGTATGCATAAAATGGAAGTGAATCTTTGGCATCATTTGTCATAGAAACCTATTATTGGAGAGGAGGGCATATATTTTATTCAGTGATTAGTTAGCACTCAACAAGAACTTATAAGATTTATATATTACTTCCCTTTAAAGGAAAATCAAAAAAGAAATCCCATCATTAGATTTGTGAAGAAAATCAAACAATGAGAATGAAAAAACCTTTACCTAATATAACTGAAAGATCAAAGTTATGAGAAGATTCACAGACTGTTGCTGCCAACAGATTCTACTATCTAATACAGTCATCAAATGTTGTGCACGAGTAATGACATGATAATACAGGAGCTGCAAGTGGTCACCTCTACCGGAAGGAAACACCTTTCCCTCTTTTTGATAGTACTCCCTTATTGACACCAATTTTGTCCCTTTGAATTTTTGAATTGACACTCTCCTCATTCCCGGTAGCTATACAACACAACGGAAGGAACACAATAATAAGAAGGAAAGTGACAAAAGAAGATACCCATACCAAAAGAGTTAAGCTCAACAATCAGATTCCTTCAGTTATCTCTTGATACAGATTTTTTCAACAGCCCAATACTAAGTCCGCAGTTGACAGATTGTTAATAAAGCTGCAAGTTTCCAAGCTTTTCTATCTTGAACATATTCAATATTCGAAAAGTAACATTCCAATCATTAAAACATGGTTAAATTTATCCTCATTGATCATCACAAAGATTTCTTACAGTAAAATATCATGATAGAGTTAAAAATGCTACTAATCCAGATAACTAGATTACTAGTAACATCTAAGAGCTTTGAACAATCTAAAGTTTTCCCTCAACTACCAAAAAGTAGTTGGATTTATAAACTCTAATCTTGAACAATCTAACTAAACCCATGTGTTGATACCGATATGCACTAACATTTGAACACAACAACTTCTGAAATTTAAACTTCAAGAAATCATGGATAAAACTCAAAAACATCTAAGCACCGTATCACCTTAGATTTCTCTGACGTATTTCGAATCATTTCCTCGTTGTTCTTAAATTAATCGAAACGTTAGGTTTTCGAAAACACACCTTACAGATAACACACCCACCACCATCGTCTACAGGAAATTTCTCCGTCTGCACTTCCTCCACCCCTTGGGTTTCTCCTTGAACTTCATCGACCGGCGAAGAAGACAGCAAAAAGGACTCAAGGATTCGTCTAACTAGCCGCTTGCTAGCGAGACTAGAAAGGTCGACGCCGAGCAGTTTTTCCGCCTCTCTTCTAACGGAGAGTTCGGTGGCGATCTCTAAATCGGCAGCTTTAAGGATTCCGATCACTGTTTCTTCGAGTTTCCCCTGGTTTAGTTTGAATTCCATTGGAGGGAGCTCAATGGTGAAGAGGAAAAAGAATTATACGACTACTTCTATACCAGTGCCAAATGCCAATAATGGAAATTAAGAAAGTTAGTTTTGGTCCTTCGACTTTTTTGGTTTTAACAAAAATCGTTCTTAGTTTTCATTTATTCTTAACTTGTCATTAACAACGTTTGTAAAATCTCTTGGCGCTCATCTCTTCCATTAACGACCATTATGTTTTTTGTTAACTTTAATTAATTGAGAGGTATCTTCTCATTTTTCATTTTCAAATATTTTTACAAAATTATAGCATATTAATATAACTTAATATCAAAATATATATATATATATATATATATATATATACATATATATATATATGTTTATATTATATTATAAAATATTTGACAAAAACTTTTAAAACTTATTCTTTATGCATGAAGTATTGTTTATTGATGCATTTATTTAAAATTCAAGATTGCAAATAAATTGTACGTAAATACAACTTATTAAAGTTTTATATTTGAATTCGTGTAACTAATTTTAGATAAACATAATTAAATAGAGGATAAACATCTCATTTCAAATATTAAAAAACTAAAATATAATTAGGATAATATTGAGTTCTAACAAAATACTTCATTATTATCTTTATAAAAAGTGATATTATTAAACCAAAAATTAAAAAAAAATGAATAAAAAAATACACAAAAAAGCAAGAAATTTTAACTAGTTAGTCTGATACTAATATCAATATATTTTTTATTTTTATGATATATTCATATTTATATTTTAATCAAAAATAAAAACATTGTCGCTTTTTGAAAATCACATAAAACCGTATTGTAACATCGATTAAAACAAAAAAACGAAACACTAAAATGAAGATGTATCTCGATACATTGTGCGAGTACCCTTATAGTATATATTTAAACGCATATGTAGTTGCTCCCCACTGTGATACATTCCTCCCTTGACGCCCATCTTCTCTTAGTGTCTAATCACCATGACTCATACCTTCTTTCCATCTTGTTGTCCTTTTCAACGGATCAACCATCGATGCTCATTCTTGAGGCTTTTTGCCCTCAGCACATGCCTATAGCTTTGATGATCTTGTTTAGAAACATTACTCGATATGTTTCTGGGTTCTTGTCTCTGAGCCAACCCAAGCTCATGCTCATGCTTGTCATCAGAGGCCCTTCGCATGAGGTCACTACAAGAACAACCGAAGACAAGGTTTTCTAATGTTAAATCTGATAGTTATAGTAAACAAGGTTTCAATGGTTGAGCTGTTAGTGATTTGGGAAGGGTCATTCTTTTATTAGTTTTGTTCGATTTTACAATTGATGCAGTTTTAAAGAACAAACAAAAACAACAGTAAGTTCCTCTTTTTCTTTTTCTTTTCTTTTTTTGATTAACCTGGATATCCAACCCGCTATGCGAATCGACAAATCTTAGAACGACCACCTGCTTTGCAGGTAGCTCAGAGTCACTGCATTTGAACCTCCGTGGCCACAAGGGGATTTTTATTCCTCCTTGGATTTGAACCTGAGACCTCCAGGCACTTTTGACCTTTGGAACCCAAATTCAAACCAATCAGGCACCACCCTTGTAGTTTAAGTTCCTCTTTATGTTCACCATATCAGGAACAAAACCCATATTGTGGTTCTATTTTTTTAAGAATTTTTTTTTTTTTTTTGATATGGAGGGGGGAGACCTCCTATCAAGTAAAAAAACCATAAACACAAGAACAGAATACGCGCTCGGGTAGGTACGAACCACATCCACCGAAATAACCAAGGCATCCCGAAAAAGAGGAAGAAAAAAAAGAAACCAACCACAAGCAAAGGACCTAGGCGGGCCAAGCCTAGGAAACAAATGGGAAGAACACCAAATGACGGGAAAATGGGCCTAAACAAGGCACACCCTAGAACGACCTAAGACAAACGGGACCCGAAAGACACACAAAGACAACACCACACAAAACCAAGGGGAGACCACAAAGCAAAGAAATCAAGGAACACCAGGAGAGGAGCCATCTTCTCAGACATCTGGGAGGGAGAGATATCACTAGTAAGAAATCGTGTAGTGTCGCCATCGTCCGACTCAACTTCAATCATGTCATCCTCATCAAGGAGGTCATCCTGATCAAGAGGATCATCCTCAATCTTAGAAGGAGCATAGGGGGTGTTTTTATTATTATTATTTAGATTTAATGTTTTTTGATTTAGTTTTTATGTTTTTGATTTAAATGGATTTTGAATCTAATTTTCTTTAATGATATTTTTTTTATGTTCACCCAAAATCACTTGATGTTCTTGATGGGTTAAGGTGGAGAAGATAAAAATCAAATAGCCGGAAAAAATATTCAAAAAACAAATTTAACGGTGACCAAAATACCCATCATTTACGAAGAGTAATTGCAACTCCCCTGAAGATCATTCGACTTTAATTTTCAATTATATTTATATTTAAAAAAAATAAAAGTAACAACTTCCCTTACACATATACGCAGATAAGTTTCCTCAACAAAAACACACGATCATCTAGTGTATAACCAGCAAGGCATAAAAAGCTGTTGAAGCATCATTACAACAATAAATGATCGATTCAGATGTTTTTAGATATAATTAAAATTATATTTTTTTAACTTTATTTTAAACTATAAAACTTATCGACGAGTGGTGTCTGATATACTCAACCATAAGATGCATATGCTGATTGTTTGTAGTAAGTTTCATAAGATTGAAATCTAAACCCTGAGTTGTCCTCATAGACACTTTTGTGTATCTTAAATATTTCAAATGTATTATAATCTAGAAAATTAAAAATATTAAAGATCGTGGTTTGTTAGTTATCAAGATCAAAGGGATGTAAAATATAAATATTGGCAAATTCGTGAAAAAATAGCATTAGGAGAATAAATCCTTTTTTTTAATAATGACAAACTTAAATAGATGCGTTTAGGAATTGACATATTTAAGACTAGAAGGATACTCGTGCAATGCATCGAGACAAATCTCGATTTCAATGTCTAATTTTATTATTTATCTATGTCGATATAATACGGTTTTATGTGGTTTTGAGAAAACGATAATGTTTTTTGGTTTTGAATAAAATATAAATTTTAAAATATCATAAAAATTTGAAAAACAATATTTGGATATTAGTATTAAATTAGCTATTTATCTTGTTTTGTGTAATTTATTTGATTCAAAATTTTTATTATAATTTAATTTAGGTTTAATAATATAATTTTTTATAAAGAAAATAATTAAGTATTTTGTTAGAATTCAATGACTATCCTAATTATTTTTTAAATTTTGTATATTTAAAACAAGATGTTTATCGTGTATTTGATTGTATTTATTTGCAGTTGGTTACACGAATTCAAATATAGAACTTTAATAAGTTATACTTATGCACAATTTACTTGTAATATTGAATTTTAAGTAACATACATCAATAAACAGTAATTCATGCATAAAAGATGGTTTTTAAGAGTTTTTGTCAATGTTTTATAATACTAGAAGAGTACTCGCGCAATGCAACGAGATACATCTCGRTTTTAATGTTTTGTTTTATTCTTTGTCTCTGTCGATATTATAATACAATTTTTTTATGCGTTTTTAAGAAAGCAATAATGATTTTATTTTTGAATAAAATATAATTTTGAAGATGTCATAAAAATTTGAAAATATATATATCAATGTTAATATTAAATCAACTGTTTAAAAGTTCTCAATTTTTATTTAATTCTTTAATTTATTTTGTTTTAATATAATTTAATTTAAGTTCAATAAC